CTGTCTTTCTGGGAGAAAACAAAGACATCATCCATGACTACCAGTGGTTAATTCAACACGGATAATGAATCACAGGCGTTGCTGACTTTGTTGTCGATGCTTGCAGCTGTTCCACAGTGAGGGAAGTCTCTGGTCTCACATTTTTCTATTGCTGTACTTCCTCCATAGCATTTTCTTTTTTTAAAGTATCAAAGCAACCAACCCCCGAGTTCAGACGCTTTTTCAAGAGTATTAGTACGCATGGAGATTATTTTTGAAACGGTGCTAAATAACACACGTCTGGATGGAGATTTTTTGAGTTGTGGGTGGCCGACACGTCTGAGCCCAGAGGTCCGATGTCACATCATGTGTTGCTTTTATCCACGAGACCCAGTCTGTAGCGATACTACAGTACATTTTAGAGGTCGTGTTTGTGGCCACCGATAGATGCCAAAGTTCAATATTCAATCTCCGTATGGCGGTGATAGAAATTTATAAAATCCTTTTGATAGCTAGACTTTCTGCAGCAGCTAATTCACCAACTTTGGTATTTATTACACTGCTGTTGTGATTGAACCACTTTTTCTAAAGGTTTTACACAGTTAATAGGTGAATATTTGTGTTGCAGCGTTGTGAAAAATCTCTCTCAAAGCCTCTCAAGTCCGTCTTTACAAACATTATTACATCATTAATTAAAAAAATAAGTCAATAAGTCTGTCGTTTTAATTCATTTGTTGATTTCTTTACGCATCTGAAGTTAGATGCAGGTGTTTTCCAGGTCAAGAATGGTTGAACTGTACACTGGTTTTGTGTTCTAAACAAGGAAAGACCTAACAGATGCATCACTTTGATAAAGGGGAGGATAAACACCAGCCAGAGAGCACAGCCCCGTAACACAATTTGGTCGTGACTTATGACTGTTCTGTAAAGCTTTTATTAAATTCCAAAATAACTGCTGGGGTTGAGGAAGGTTTTAGGACCAGATTTTGCAGACTGTAAAAGTAAAACAATAATCTAAAAGGCGTAAATGGCGTGCAAATAAACACAAATTCAAGCAGGATGGCACAAAACTGAGGCTACGACAGCTGAAAATCGTTCTTGCCTCTCCCAGGTCATTGTGAATCTACCTCATAAACAGAAGTAGGAGACCAGAAGGAGACGCTGGAGGAATATAACAAACTGGAGTTTCAGTGTATGGAGGGAGGAGGGGGACATTGTATTGCTACGATAGCTCAGTGTATCACACAAACACGGAGAGGAGACGAACAACAGTGCTCCAATAAAAAAAAAAAAAGGGTGTATTGAGGGAGGACTTTAAGCAGCGGCTTAAATTGAGATGACAGTTTGAGAACATTTTAGAGAGTCTGAGCTTTAGGAGGCTGCTTTCAGAAAGCTCTTCCGGGGAGAAAGATAATCAAAACGGAAAGAAGACGTGAGCAGTGTGGATAAAGTTAGGCCTGGATGTAAATTTAACCACAAACCAAAAAAGACAGGAGGAAGAGAGGAGCGGAGGTGCAACAGACAACGAAGGGGGAGAAGAGTTAATGCATGTGTCCCCGAGCAGGCTTGATGTCATTACTAACATTAGTAGGTTGGCAGTAAACGTTGAAGCTAAAAGGCAGAAGGCATCACTCAGGCTGACAAACCGGCACACACTTTAACCACACAAAGGCAGGCTTAGCTCAAGTATACACACACGTATCCGCTCGCTGGCTTAACTCAAACACACACACACACACTCCCACGCAGGCAGACAGGCCTGTGACTCAGTAACAACTTTTTGCCTTATCTCCAAACCTTTCCCTATCTGTCCAATTCAATTTATTCATCGCCACCCTTTCTCTAACCCTCCATTCACTCGTCCCACTTCATCCTCCCGAGGCTTTTTTTTTATCATTTTCAACTCCTTCCATTTTCGTGCGCTATCCTCCACCCAGCTTGAAAAGATTGAGCGTTTTTCTCGCCGTGTTCATCCTTGACTGACTCCACGAGCAGCCTCTCCTCTCCTCCTCGCTGTGACTTCAGCTACACTCTCAAGTATCTTTTACTCTTTTTTTTTTGTCTTTTCAAACACCTCACGCAGCCATGTTGTCCAACACTCAAGCATTTCAGTCTGTCCGTATCGTATAAGCAGTGACGGAGGTTGCGTAATCAGCCTAATTTGGTCTAAATGTAGGAAAACAAAACCCAAGCAAACAGGTGTACTTCCCCGCTCTACCATGTATACCCAAACCACTCACTCCTTTCGTCTCAGACGTTGTCCCCTTCTGCCCCCACAAACAGAGCTGTCATCGCATACCCACAATCGAGGGAATTGACATGACAGCCGCTCTCCTGAATGGTAATGCCCACCGCCTTTCACTTTTGAGGTCACGGATCAAATGAAAAAAACAAAAACAAGGAGGGAACAAGGGGCAACAAAGGATAGAGAAGAAAGTAAGGAGGTACTTGGGAGAAGAAAACGAAAGTGCAGGATGCTCTCTGTGGTCCCTCTGTCCTCTGTTCCCTCCTGTCACCAGAGGGAGGTGAGGGGGCTGGTTGTCATGACGGCTGTTGTCATGGCAGCTGGACTAGATAATAAACAGGAGGGAGAGATGTCCGTCCATCTAGTGAAGTGAAGCTGCCGTGGCAACCGCTGACAAGATGCAGCGAATGTGGATGTGTTTTCATTGGAAGTTTTGTGTTTTTGATTGTTTGATTTTAAACGTATTGTTCTGTAAGAAAATTGGACGACCTTGAGGTTATGAGACCTCCGATTTAAATACATGTGTCTCATACATAAAGAAAGGGTTTACAGCAGAGCGAATTGGGGCTCTTTTGTCCATCAGTAGGATCAACACTTTGGTTGCGAACTACTGGACTGGCAAAAAATACTATAGTTGAACTCATGGTCCCCATTGGTAAGCTATGACGACTTTTGTGATTCTCTAGCCATAAATTGGATATAAAAGATGGAGCCAGCAGCCATGATGTCACCTCTCACTTCGGCTAATTATCGCTGTTGCAATCTTTGTCTTTTGAAACTGTAAATGACAAGTGAATGGTGGATCTTCCTGAGAGCTCAAAGACACTGTGCATGCCCATGTAATAGGGATTTGTCAGTCACAAGGTAGCCCCACCCTAAAACATACCCTGCTTGATCTACTATTTCAATCTAAATGGGACCGTAATTTACTAAATTAACCTAATGCTGTATTGAAGGACACTTGAAACTAATAGCATAGACCATCAACATATTAGGAAAATGTTCACTGATGTGGTAAATCAAGGGAAAACATAGGACCATTTACCGATACACTTCAATACAGTCTGACTTCATTTTTGCAACCAGAGCCCTCTGCTGACCAATAGGAAGAAGGCTGGCTTCAGGCATGTCCTTTACTTTTAAGACCCAGAGGCTACATTGATGTTTTGTATCCATCAATCCATCCATTATCTATACACCGCTTAATCATCACTAGGGTCGCAGGGGGACTGGAGTCTATCCCAGCTGACTCAGGGTGAAGGCAGGAGACACCATGGACAGGTCGCCAGTCTATCTCAGGGCTACACTTAGAGACAGACAACCAAGCACACTCACATTCACACCTTCGGACAATTCAGAATCACCAATTAACCTCAACATGTTTCTGGACCCGGAGAACCCGGAGAGAACCCACACTGCACAGGGAGAACATGCAAACTCCACACAGAGAAATCCTTTACTGGGATGCTAAGGGATCTTCCAGCTGGGAGGCGACGGTGCTAACCATCGTGCAGCCCCCATGTTTAATATACAGTCTATGAATGTGATTTCTATCCTTGCGCCACCTGCAGGTCAACTGAAACCTGAAATATCGGCGCCTTGGCTAGACGGTTGAGCACAAACGTAGGTAGACATTCATGGTTCCCAGACAATGTATTGTACAGACTTGGGGGATATGAATTTTTCTTTAGCACCAACATGAAGTTAATATTTGTGGTTTTGAGTGACACGTTTAATAAATTTTCATAAATTTTGATACAACCATGTCTCCCTCAGGATGAATCATAGCAACTTGGCTACATAGAAGCTCATGCCAAAGGAGGCCACACAATGCTGATTAGGCCTATCACCACCATGTCTATGTTTTGTAGTATACTTCAGTTTTAAATCCAGTTCCTGTGGCGACACAAGCACACCAGCAGCGATGTGTTTTATGTCAAACAGCAATGACTGACTTGCCAGAGCACAAAAGGAGAACAGATGTGGCAATGGAGACGGAGTAAGCTACACACACTTGGAGTATGGCCGAGTGTTTAAGAGGAAAGATTACAGCCCGAAAAGAAAGCGACGGATGGCGACATACATCATAAATACACAGTAATAGTGTTTAATTACTCTTGTTGCCAGAAGGGGGCATTAAAAGTTTTGGTTTAATTGTCTAATCCAGAACTATCCTGAAGGGAAACATTTCATTTGTTCCATGAGTTACTTCACTGCCAAACACCTGGAAGGCCAATGACAATCTCATCATTTTAGCTACTTTCTAAGATTGTGAACATGGTGAATATTTTATCTGCTCAACATCAGCGTATTCGTGTTATCCTTGGAAGCATGTTGACAAGCTGATATTAGCATTTAGCTTTACGCATCTCTGTGCCTAAATACGGCCTTGAAACTTGCTAGCATGGGCACAGACTCAAACCACCAAAACAACCAGCCCCTTCTTAGAAAACGGTCACGCCATACTCTTCAATATCCATCAACCGTGAGCATTGTACCACCAATCCTAGCTGTGACTTAGCTGCATCATCAACAGGGAATTGTTTTGTTTGCATTTTTACTTTTTATACATTTAAAATCGTAGGTTATGTAAATATTGCCTCAGTTTTTCAAGTGGGGTGAAAACTCCTTAAGGCAAGCCTTTGGCAGCTCCTGCCGTACGGGTTCACGCTACCATCAGCATCTATTTGGTTCTAATCAACCCTTTGCATGCATTTTACACTTCAACAGGCCCACAATGATCTTACAGGGAAGTTATTTGACCAGTGACACAGAAAACTGTTCACACTTTTAATCAGCTCCATACTTCTGCCTAATTACAGGGGTAGAAAATGAGATTGGCAATTAATACAAACATCTCGAAACATGAGCAACTGAAAGAATACTGATGCCACTTCTTCAGTGGCATACAGTTGTTAAAACATCAAAAACAGCTATATAAAATAAGACAAGCCTTTTAACTAAAAAGCGGACTCCTGGAGGGGATCCAAAAAAGAAAAATCCCAAGGGAGTCCATCTCTGAGAGGGAATCCTACTGCACTGGCAGTGTGGCAAACAGAGATACCCAAAGAGGCACATTACCCTCCTCTGCCACATAGTGTGGTTTTGGACCTGGTCAAGAGCTCTTGGAGCTCTAGCACATCTTCAGTCAATCCTCCTTCTCTCTATTGTCTGCTTTACATTCTCAGCTACTAGTCGCTTTGCTGCCGCTGTCAGTCTTTGGTTTCGATGAGCCATTTTGATCACCGTTCTCCAAGTCCAACTCTGCCTCATTTTCCCCTGCTCCTTCTTCTTCTTCCTCTGCGTCCTTTTCCACCTCGTCCTCTACCTCCTCCTTTTCTCCATCTTTCCTTTTCTGCCCCAGGCCTTGTTTGTCTCTGAAGACCTCCACACCTAACATTCGAAGGTAATGAAACCTCTCGTTGCGGGGTACAAAGGCTCGGATGGACGTCTTTCCCCTCCAGCCACACAGCTGGATGGGACACTGAGGCTCCGCTGGGTTACTGACAAACAGAGGGTGACGGTACGTTTTAGAGCTAAACAAAAACCCTGCTAATTATGCTTAAAATGATCATCATAAGATACACACATAGACACTGAAAAATATTCGAATGGCTTACTTTGGGTTTGGAATGTACTTCAGCACAATGCTACCCATTCCTGTGGAGAGAACAACAATGGACAAAGACAATGAGTGACTGGGAAGTGGCAACGAATTCTTTCAAAACCAATTTCAATAATGATGCGCAATGCTAACGATATCAGCTGATAAACGCTTTAAAATGGAATCTCCACATCAGCCCAAGCTGAACACTGAAATACTAAACATGGCATGTTGAACATACAAGGTGAGTAATTGTTCCCAGCAAATGAGCACTTAGAAAAAAGAACTGTCTGTATCTGCCGGTGGTCCATCATGAGAAGGGTAGGTATGATAATATGTTAATTTCACAACATGAGAGACTTCATGTGCATATATTGGTATCGACAACTGGCCAGAACTAGTTAAAAAAAAATCAGCATATTGGATATTAGCAGAAATCCAGTATCATGTAGCTGTGATTTTAATGTTTCACCTAGCTTGCTATGTACAGCTTTTCAGATGATAATTGAAGAATTTATGTTCCTCTTTCGCTTGTTGCCAGCCGAGCAATGACTCTTACGGTTACTAATCTCCTCCGCTAGACTACTGCAGCCTCCCTAAATTCTGTTTTAACTCTTTGTGCTGGTTTAATATTTGTATCAGTCAGAGGTCTGGTCGTATCAACAATAACAAAAGCGACTTTCACAATCGGTGGATATCACATCTCAGACAAAACAAACATCGACTCAACCTCTGCCCTCCTTTCACGTTTCTTTCACAACAAGAAGTACATGAGAGCCAACAAAATAATAATCCAGTCAAAACCATAAGCCAACATCGCATGATAAAATACACTGAACAACTAAAGTTTTCTTTGTCCATCTTGTATCTGCTTCTCGTGAACTGGATCGATGTTCGCATGTGTGGAGAAGACACACAAACACCGACACTAATGCAGAGAAGCAGCAAAAGACAACAGCGGAGACTCTCACACTGAGCTGAAATGTACTGCACATAAACTAGGTAAAAAGCTGAAATAAAATACTTTGTCTTGGTGTTTGTGGCGCCACGTGAACACCACACCGTACTTTCATTTTTCTGATGCAGTGTGGGAGGCTTTCCTCAGTTTATCCACACAGGAAGGGCCAACAGGTTCAAAGGGAGGGACTCACATGCACTAACATGAATACACGCCTGGTGTAGCAACCAAAACATAGAAAAGAGGGACTGTGAATTCAGTCACTGCCAACAAAACCATCACTCCACTTTATCTCTATATAGCAGATCACTGTTTGCTGCAATATTAATGCTCAAAATCTTTAAGCTTTGCGCTCCCAGAAGTAACTATTTAGTTAGGATATAAGTCTAATATTATGGAATGAAACCGTACCCATTTTCTTGGCCTGAGCGTGAGCGTCCTCCTCCAGTTTGCTGAGGAACGGGTTCTCCTGGGTCAGCAGCACTTTGATGTCCTCCACACTCACTCTGATAATCCTGGAGCGAATGTACGGCTGTAGAGTGTAGATACCCTGCAGGACAGAGAATAGACGTGGATGACAATCTGCAAACCGTTCTAATGGATTCGAATTCTTTACAGTGACACTGTGCATATAAAATGAATTAATTATCAGCTTGTTTGAGTGTGAATTCTGCCGTCTGGTTCCCTTGTTACTCAGCCTCGGTGGCGGCTACGGTAATGATGGCAAGGAGACATTTTTTGTTTGAACACAAGACATTAAATGTATTATACACTCAAAGAATACGCAGTGTGTTGGAAGTCCTCGAAATATAAGCTTTGTATTTCACCATGCATCACTTCACATCATGAGGCTTAATTTGCATAGAAAAAGAGAATTACGGGTGTTGTGTGAAAACGTGCAGCTGAGATTCAGAAAGAATTCCAGGATAAATGCAGCTTTCAATTAATGCGACTGCGCTCGACAAAGAACAAGTGGCTTTACAGAAAATGATTTTCACTCCACTGAAGAAGATTTAATGTGTGCAGATGAATTGTGCTTGGCTGAAAAACTGGGCCCAAACAAATTCATATTTTGTGTGTGTGTGTGTGTGTGTGTGTGTCTGTTACCTCCTGAGCCAGTCTGAAGGCACAGCCAAACTCCTCGCCATCACTGTTGCGAGACCACACCTTCACCCCGGTGTTAATGACCTGAGAAACAAAAAATAAATAAACAAAAGCAGGCTGACATATGGCTCTGTACAGAAAAAAAAAAGTTCACAATGATGCCAAATTAAACCTCTGAAAATATAATCAGAGTCAGTGACTAATTATTGTACTTGTAGTCTTGCGGTATTACTGGTAATGTGTTTGTAATTATACCAAACTCTGTTGCTCAAGGCAGCTTCTATATAAGACCTTAAAAGACTGTGCAGCGGGTCTCTGGTGTCCCAGCGGGGGTGGCAGCAACTGTCGGTGATTTGCATTGGAAAATCCAACTACACATTTATAAATATTGTATTGTTAGTTGAAGTAGTGAAAAAAAAAGTGCATTTACTTATTTCAATGTGCTTGAGTGTTTCCATTCTCTGCTACCTTGCTCTTTGGCTTGATTTTAGTAGGAAATATTGTACTTTCTACTCCACTATGTATCCGACAGCTTTAGTTACTTTTAAGATGAGGCTTTAACACACACTTTAAATGTGGGTGAAGATTAAACCAGTGCGTTTTTTGCTTCTTCCAAAAAGCAGTGTGTAGTCGGTGTCACAACTCAGATGTCTGAGTGATGAACTGCTCCACCATCAGCAAAAAAAAATCAATAAATAGAGAAAAAAAAGTCTTAAATCTGAAAACAGATTTGTGGATCAAAACTTCATTTTTCTCTTCAATTAATGATGTGATGATTTATCTTCTGTCCCTGTATATAAAACTGCATATGAAATCATTTAAACCTGCAGCAGCTTCACCTGTAACATGCTGCTGACACACCGATGCCTCATCATTAATAATATAATGATGTCAGATATAATAATAGATCAGAGACCAACACCAGTTCTTTTACTTTACTACCTCAGCTACATTTTGCTGCCTATACTTGTGCACTTTTACTTTAGCAGGACATTTCATGCAGGACTTACTTGTAATAGAGTATTTTTATAATGCTGTATTAGTACTATGACTTCAATAAAGCATCTAAATGTTTCTTCCAACACTGTTATAACCTAAAGGGCATGAAGGAAATCTAAGTAATATTTTGATAAGAGATCAAGATAAAATGATGTTTAACAATATTCTATTTGCACAAACAGAAAGACAAAAACACACCATTTCATCGATTTTCTTTGTGATATTTAAGATGTTATAAAAAACAGAGGAACGACAGAGGTCCCGTTTCTCAATTTCTATGTATGAATGAATGAATGAATCTGTACAAATGTGCAAGAATATATTTCAGTGCACTTTAGCCGATAGAGAAAATGACTAAAAAGTGAGAAACATCAAACGCCGATGAGAAAAAAAAAAAAAAGACACTCACACAGACACACACAGAGTGCCACCTGTGCAGGTGCTACAGGGTGGAGGTCCAGAGGGACTTGGGAGACAGTCCCATCTGTTTATGCTGACACACACACACACACACACACACTGACACACACACACACTGCAAAAACAAACTGATCTCTCAATGTAAACCCAATAAATCAGCGCTTAGATAAACATAATGCCCTTTCAAGCAGATCAATATTAGATACATTGTATCCTGGAAACAATTGATTATGGATTTGTTGCATCTATTTTTATCAGACTGAAATGCTCCATCATCCTCATCATCATCATCATCCTCCAGCCTGGCTTTCAGAGTGTGCGCTGATCTAAAACGTTGTCCCTGAAGAGAAGAAGAAGAAGCAGAAACCCACACACCTTCATGCGCTCGCTGTTATTGAGCAGCACGTTGCGGAGCTCTTTGGAAACCATGTACAAGTGTCTCTTCTTGCCTTCGTGGGTCCTGGTCAGGACATTGAGCTTGGGGAAGTCACCAGACAGATCATAAAAAGATCTAAAGAAAAACAAACAGGGTAAAAATTGTTTCGCTACACCGAAAGGCCAAACGGCAAAAATGTCAACATGGACTACAAAGAGGCGCTCACTGTATGGTGTTGAAGACAGGGTCATCCTCAGTTAGGAACACAAAGGGGTCTTCTTTATACCCAAACAGCCTCATCTTCTTAGAAGGAGGAGGCCTGAGAGAAGAAAGGGGTATTTATGATTCAAATTATTTACTTTAGTTCACTTAAATTACAAATATCCATTTAGCTGGGTTTGCTGTTAAAATAAAATAAAAAAAATCACATGGCAATAGTGTAAAAAAAGAAGGAGACAAACTTTACAGCATCTTGTATTGATAAACTACATAATTATCATCAACCTGACGGATGATCTTTTACAGAAAACATATTTCTAAAGGACCAATAATGGGTTTGTCAATCCAAAGAGTAAATTCTTATTCAAAAATGTCTTTTTGTCTTTATTTCTAAAAGCTCAAGATCTTTAATTTTCCTTTTATTTATTAGCTCGCCAGGCCAGCATGACTCACCCACACGTCCCCTCTTGTTTGGCACCAGCCTCCTGAGCCAGAGTCGCTCCTTTGGGCGCCTCCTTCTCTGCCTCCCCGTCTACTTTTCCCTCCGAGCCGCCCTTCTCCACCTCCTCCAGGGGACGCTCTGGGAGGAGGCAGGGAGCATCTGCTGGTGACGAGGCCGCCGAGGAGATTTCGCTCTGGGCCGCTGAGCTGGACGAGACGTCCTTCCTCAGCTGGAGACGAAGGGGAGGGGTGGGTGATGAGCGGACAAAGAAGAGAAGAAAAAGAAGGAGTCCCAGCTGTGGTTAGTGAAACTGAACAGGTGAGTGACGTACTGTGAGGGGGTAGGGGGGTTCAAAAGACATACCCACATGGAAGATGTCTGCTCCATTTCCCACCTCAAGTGAGACATAAAAATCTCTCATCCGTTAAGTGTGTTTGTGAAGAAGTACCTTGGGGTATCTTTTGTTCCAAGGCATCGGGGCTTTCTTCACCAACACAGCCACAAAGAAACCTCCGGTGTTCTGGTGATGAGGCAGAATCCTCATACTGGCATTAAAACACAGACACACAGAAACATAAATCATGGCTTGGAGTTTTATAGTGCCACCTACTGTGAGAACAAAAAAAAAAAGGATGGATTTTTTTCTTCTTTTCAGCATTTAATAAGAGGTGCTTGGACAACGTGGGACAACAGCGCCCTCTGCTGGAGCACACCAGGCTGGTGAGAGCACTAAAGCAGAGGCTGTGGGGGTAGAAATGACATCATCTGCTATTATGCCAGAGTGCAGGTGTGTTCATGTATGTGCAGCCATGCAGACTGGGTGGGAACGGGTTTGCCAAAAAAAAAAAGAAGTATAAATTAGACATATTACTCAGCTAATGAGTTTGGCATCAATGAAAAGAGAAAACGCTGCAAGTATGCGTTTGCTTCTACCTTCCTGCTTTCATGTCAATAAAATGGATGGATAAAAAAAAAAAGAAAAAGGCCTTTGGTTATTGAAATTACACACACTATTCTGAGCTGCATTAATGATAGAATAACACAATTTAACCCTCTGAATTCCAAGCATGTTTTGCTCCAGTTGCTTTTTTTCCCCCCCTCCACTAATTTTGTGCTCTTTTTTCGCTGCAATATAAAGTCCTGCTCCTCCATGGAGTCCAGCACAGCCATGGCTACAACTCAGAAATTCGTTTGTGAAGTATACCTCGGTTACAGTGCCATACAGATATAATACAAAAAATTAAAGTTGAATTTCTTTGATTTGTTTATTTATTAGAATCTATGTGTATAATATTCTTTCCAAGGGCCTACAGATGCTACAAATACTGGAAAAAGATAGGGGCTCCACATGCTACTGATAGGCAGTTTCACTACCTAAATGTACATGTTTATAAATCAGGCATTCTTCCCACTACTTTGCACCGAAACCCTGGAAAAACATTTCACCATGCTCGAGGTATCTTTCCAACAACTTGCTTTAAACTTGCTTGCATGCTTTTCAACTGTGTTGCGTTTATTTTATTGATCATGCATGTTTTATCTTCCTCTCAATCTCTCTTTTTTTATCTCCGTTTTGCTGCAACCTGAAGTTCATCCAAAAAGTTGCAGAATTTTTTTTTTGTCACATGAAAGCAATGTTTTAAATCCTAAATGTTTTACACAGACTCAGAAATGGGCATGTATGCACATCTGTGCCAATAACACAAAACTTTTTGAGAGAAGCGAAGGATAAGGTGGTTAACTTGACTGAATATGACTTGGTGTTATCAGGTTTTTGGCAGTTAAAGTGGACAATTTAAAGAAAAACCTCAAATGTATGTATGTAGCAAGAAAGGCAGGCCTGCAGTGAATGATTGGTATAAGAAGGTATTGAGTAAACTCCCTCCTGATCTACAACCTTTATGACAATGTTGAGGGATATATTAAAACATGGCAGTCTTGAATACTGTAGACCCCTCTGGACTGGACGGTGTGGCACCAAATTAACAACATTTTACTGTATACAGCCAACACTTGGAACTTAAACATGATCCTGTCATCCTGGTGCTGTGTTTGTGTATTTTTCCCTCTTTTTCTGCGCTACTGTGTTAAGTTAAGGTTCTTCAAAATCCCACAAAAAATGGTTCTGTGCATATTCTGAAACAAAAGTATATGTACCTTATTTTAAAAAAAAAAAGAAAACGCTAATAGATGAGGAAACATTAAGACGAGGGTTTAGGGGGAAAGTATCTGCACAGTACAAATAGTAATCAATATCTTGAGAGAAAGGGGACATTTTTATTAAGATGGAAAGACTAGCTTTACAATCACCCTCTGCGACAGCTCTATGTGTGTGTGTGTGTGTGTGTGTGTGTGTGTGTGTGTGTACCTACCATCTCTCCAGATGCATGCCAGCCAGCTTCTCTGAGTCCTTCGGCGGGAACATGGTGGGGCGGATCTGTGTGTGACGACTGCTCGGAACCTCGGACCAGTCGGAGAACCACTGGCCGTCTTTGGTCATCAGCTAGACGGGAAAGTTCGCAATCTGAAGTCAGGACACTGACAGACACAGTTCAGTAAAACTGAGGGCCCAAAGATTGTACCTTCCAGGACGTGACGCCAGGCATCCACTTCAGCCCTGGCAGGTCAGCTGAGCTGTCGGCGAGCTCCAAAGCTCCTGGCGCCGTGAAAGAAAGAGAAATTACAACTTGGCAGTAAAAAAAAAAGCAAGTGGCTACAATTCTACGTCATTTTCTTGTGAAATATTTAAACTGTCAAGCATGCAGGGTTTTAGTATAGATTAGTTTGTCATATAGTATTTTCAAGTTTGTGAACCTTTATTTCTGCATAAAATATGACCTTAACATTTTCACCCAAGTCCTAAAAAGCCAATAAAACAAATTGGTGATTTTATCTATTGAGGAAAATGATCCATTATTATATATCTGAGACTGGCAAAAGTATGCAGACCTTTGGTGTTCAGTGTTCTCATGAACTGGAACACTAGCCAAGGTGAGAGAAACCGTTAGTTGTTTAGAAGTAACTGTGAAGTGGTCGTCATTGTCAACCACTCCTGGGGACATAAACGTGGTCCTGAATTTGTCTGAGTGTGGATTTGTGGAGTCCAAACTCGAGCAGTGGTTTTGTGAAGATGCTTTTGTAACATTGTCCATCCCGATGTGTTTCATCAACTCTTTTTTATTCTTTTTGTTTGTGCCGGGGTACACCTCCACAGACGTGTTGTGAAGCTGAGACTTTGATAGATCCCTGTTCTTTTATTAAAACAGCACCTCCACTCACACCTGATTGTCACTGGATGGACTGAAAACATCTGACTCTAATTCTAATCACCTTCAATTAAATGGTTATTCTCGGGGTTCACATACTTTTCCCAGATACGTAGCATTGGGACTTTTTCCTAAAACCAATGCAGGTTTCGTTCTGCATATTTGGCGTTCCCCAGAGAGGTTCTTGTACCATCAAAGGAATATCATAAGAATTAATTTACTCAAGCACGGTAGTCGTTTGTCAAATGGTCTGAAATAGAATAAAAACTCTTAGATTTCTGTCAAGTAACAGAATCATTGCCTTTACTGCAAATGGACTGATCATGGTTAATACTGTGCATAGTCACCCCCTAAAGACCTAGTCTGAGCCAGGAAACATCTTTATCGCGTTTCTTTTATTGGTTTCTTGTTATTTACTTTTAATTACTGGGGAAATGTGATAATGTTTTAGGTCATATTCCTACAGAACTGTAGAAGATTCTCTCAAAACAACATACTTTCAGACACCACGGTAGATAAATATCAGAATGTTGTACGATCAAACCAAACCTTTCCCACATTAGCTTTGTGCAATCAAAAGATATGAGTTTGTGCTTTAATAAGTCTGATAAAAACCTACTTTTAGTTTGTGATTGTCAACTTGTTGGCCAACAAATCACAAATCTATAAGTTTATTAATCATTTGTGATGAATGCTAAATAATTGTTTGAGGCTTTTATTTATTTTTTTAAATAATGGTATCAAAAAGGATCTCCAGTGTGAAGTGCATTGCTTTCTAGTGCTTTATGTAGGCTCACACAGCTGCACCTCTATCATCCTGCTGTAGAGGAAAGAAACGCTCTTTCAACTAATCACAACCGTATTGTGCAGAATTAAGTCAAGGATGCAGCAACAGCGTTCACTCAAAATGATGACGGAGTATTAGTTTTGGTTGAATGAAAAGGGACAAGCGGCGTCATTAAAAGTGATAATTTACCAAAGAAAAAAACCTAAACAAAAAACTACCAGTGCTGCCTTACTGCACGATCCAAATCCTTATTAAGACTTATATCGTCTAAATGGTCGGCTGCTGCCTGGAGGTTTTCATTTCCTGAAGTGATGGGATTTGTTGAAATGGGAACATGTAGATATAGCGTGAAACGTGCAGCCAGTGGCAGGCTTATACCTGCAATCTACATGCCTTGAGTAAGACTAGAACAATAAGATAAGGTGAACATTGTTTGCTTTTTACATTTTATAAAGAACTGTTAGCTGCAGCCCTAAACATTGTAGTTATGCATCAGAGGAATTGAAATGTTTTAGTTGGATTCTCTTTGCACTGTCGTTGTCTTTTCTTAAATCTTGATGAATTCTCTGTTGCATCTTTCTTTCACTCATGATGTTTTTACTTTTAGACTGCAACTTGTGTCTTCTGATATTTTAGATTTTCTGAATCTGATATCTCAAGTGGATGTGTTGTTGTCAAGCCATATGACCTCCACAAAACGCAGACATGTGTTGGGTTGACTTTGAGTTTAATATACGGAAGACTGAACAAAAGACGTGGAGGAAACATACTACTCATAAAGAATCCTTTGAGTAACAGATTAAAAATAAATACTGGAACGCATAAAACAACCAAGAGTTGTGAAATAAATGTTGAACACATAATGTATAACCCTGTGAGAGTTGGTTTGTGTTCGTTACCTTCACTCTTCTCCAGCAGTGCTGCTATGACAGCTTCGTCCTCTATAGGGTTGAGTGAACAGGTGGAGTAGACCATCCTCCCTCCCACAGCCAGCTGTTCAACGCCGCGCACTGCGATCCGCAGCTGGAGCCTGGTGAGCACATGCGCACACACACACTCTGTAACGCTGCCAACTTTTTTAATTAGCACCAAAAGAACACACTCCATTCCCCTGTTGTTCAGTCAATTTGGTCTACCACACGAGTGCAGGAATTCCTGTTTTGTCGCATAAGTACGAGCACACTCACCCGTGGAGGTGCAGGCTGTTGCTGGTCGTCCATTTCTTCCACACATCTATGTTCTTCCTCATGGTGCCGTCCCCACTGCACAACACAGAGCAGACAGCAGCACCAGTCAGACACATCCCCGGTTTGGCCCGAGGCACTGAAACCACCAGAGATCCCCGACACTTCTCACAGGGCGAAAATGTCTGCAAAGCACAAACTGTCTAAACGCTGCGCTTTAGCTGACTGCTCACATCACTGCTGCCTGCCTCCCTCTGTCTTCATTACTGCTTTCCCTCCCCTCCCTCTCCCTATGTTGTGTTTGGCAGGGGCCTCCTGGCTTCAGCGCTCGAGCTGGCCAAACTCAGGCAGCATTTGCAAACTAATGCAGTTCTGTTTTGGCCACAAAATGATGCTAGAATTCAAGGGAAGAAGGATGTGGCTGCATGTGTTACCACTATAGTGAAATCCGAAGGAAACCAAGACATTATTAAAAGCCACTTTTAGGGAGTTTTAAGACATTATGTATTTGACAGACAGGGTGAAGCCACATCTCCATCTGTCACACAAAATCTCCTCTCCAGTCAAACACCCACACATGCAGCAGAGCTCAGCCATATAGTTTTTTTCTGTTGCAGCTTCCAAACCCTGACTCTCCCCATCAGTGGTGCCAACGCAATCCAGGTGCATTTGCTGACCTGCAGGGGACGTCGCACAGGATGCGGTCATAGAAGAGGATGTCCTTCTTGCCATCTGAGTCTATGTGGAGCGTGGGAATGCAGGAGGCATCGTGGTTGACAACCATGATGCATGGGCTGTTGAGACGCTTGGCCTGGTGCACAAGTAAGTAGCAGCGCTTGTTGTCCACGTCATTGGCGATGACGAAGCCCTCTGAAGAGTGGAGGTGTAGATTAAACCGACATTCAGCTGATGCGAAAGATGCAGAAAGCCGTGATCATGACAGCATTCTCAGTTCTGAATGTGTTTCTGTTACCTGGGAATGGCACGTCCATGTCGGCGTGGAGCATCTCGATCAGCTGTGCGGTCTTCGACCCTGGAGCTGCACACATGTCCAAGATCTGCACAGACATCCACGCATGTCAAAAGTGCAATGCATATTTTTTTTTTCTTGCTCTCCATGCACAAAGAAAGCTTTTTAGAAGGAGGCACAAGGGAGAAAAAAAATAGAAAATGCATTAAGCACTGTCAGATCTGCTATTTTTAACCTCTAAAAAGGCCGGTGTTTTTACCTTGTGATGGGGCTCAATCTTCAGGAGCAGAGGAGGGATCATGCTGACAGCTTCCTGTCGGCTGATGTTACCCTGCAAGGACAAACAAAGTTTAGACTCATCTCTTTGCATCTGATGACTTCTGACATTTTGCTTTAGCCGTCTGAACACCAAAACACATCAGTGGGTTTGAGAGGCATGTTGTCTTCAAAATAAGCGTAAAAACCATATAAATTACACCATTTAGCAGAGCTGGATTTTCAGCTTTCTGCCCGTTTGTGAACAAATCGTCTGTGGCATGTTTTTTCAAAATTGTGACATTTCATCAAAATTGGGTCTCATTAAAAAAAAAACAAAAAAAACTGGCCACTAAGAAACTAATTGCATCATCCATCCATCATCTACACCGCTTAATCCTCACTAGGGTCGCAGGGGGCTGGAGTCTATCCCAGCCGACTCAGGGTGAAGGCAGGGGACACCCTGGACAGGTCACCAGCCTATCACAGGGCTACACTTAGAGACAGACAACCAAGCACACTCACATTCACATCTATGGACAATTTAGAATCACCAATTAACCTCTACATGTTTTTGGACTTGTGGGAGGAAGCTGGAGAACCCACAGAGAACCCACGCTGCACGGGGAGAACATACAAACTCCACGCAGAAAGATTCCGATGTCCCCACTGGGACGCGAACCGGCAACCTTCTTGCTGCGAGGCAACAGTGCTACCAACTGCACCACCCTGCAGCCTAATTGCATCAGATCGTGCAAAGAAAATCTAAACATTCTGCACATGGAGAAGCCACTAGTGCTTCATCTGCAACCAACAGTCATGTGACAAACATTCTGTGATTATTTGGCTGAACTGCAGGCTGTGTTTAGACAGAGCAGAGGGGAGACACATACATTAACACATTTACATGAAGTCGAAAATAAAACATACTTGAGCAATAAAATAGATTAACCGTGGCTCAAAATTGGTGAGGTGACAGGGGAGCAAGTTGTTGGAAGATACGTTCTGCATGGGAAATATCTCCATGTCCAAGTACTGGGAAAAAATGGCTAGTTTGTAGACTTTACAAACATTTCTTTAGTTTATAATCTATAGTGAGTGGAGAACCCATTTTTTCCTATATTGGTAACACCACTTTGAAAAATGTTAAACACGGTTATTCCATTTGTTTTTGAATTTGTAAAATGAATAATCAAAGAAATTCTACTTTTATTCCCTTCTTTTTAACAATCTCAAAAGTTCACTCTCCTCCTAGCCATGGTTGTGCCATTTCCATAGAAGTGCAGGACTTTATATTGCAGTGAAAATGAGCCCACAGTGAGATGAGACAGAAGCAAAAACTCTGATGAACTCAGCCAGTATTAAACCGCGGGCCGGTCTGGTTTATTTTCTGTTTGACTCACTGATTCAGTTTCGCTGACCAAAAACTGGTGGAACTTCTCCAGCAGAGGAGACTTCCTGATGATCTTCCTGCTCATGTTGGTGTGCCAGGCCTGCTCATCGGGATACCTGGAGAGAACACATACTGAGTTTGAATCTGTTTTGTCTTTTTAGTGTTGGGCAAATCACGTGACATTTATTACCAGCTGAGAGCTTGTGGAGCTTCTATCTTCTGCCCATCGATATCCACCTCCTGGATGTCCTTGAAGTATTTTTCCTTCAGACAGTGAAGGATCTCCTTGGCATGGCTGGAACAAGACATAAGCGTGGAGAGATTGGCTTTATGTAGCTAGAAATATTGTCATCAGGCAGCAGTGATTCAACATGATATGACTAATTTAGCCTACTGTTGTCCTTTTTCAGCTGAAACTCTAGAGTTTATTTCAACGGGTAAGCTTTTATTTCTGCCTTATTCTTTCATATATGATTTCTCTATCATCATTTGCTGCTGTCTGATGAAGTGTCATTAAAGGCACTGCTCAAAAGCATAAGTGATTAAAGACGAATAACCAGGTTTCAATATCCACCGCAGCTAAACATTTATATTCAGTCTTTTTTTTATTATGTGTTTTCCTTACCCTGAAAAGTGGGAATTCAAAAATAACAGCTGTCATGTACTACTAACCTTACTAAATCATAAAAACCTTGAATAACAACCTATGAGGTGTATGCACTTGCCAGTAAGTGGCCCATGAAATGGACAACCTCTGGCACAATTTTGAGCATGAACGAGAGAAATCCAAGTCTGTCCACCTCACCTCTTGTATCCAGTGATGCGGATGGTTGCAGGAAGCGGTTCCCTCATTGCGTCCATGAACTGTTCGAACTCTTCCTCAGGCACCAGGCCCTGCTCCTTGTAGTAGTGCTCGAACAGCTTGTTCTCCTTGACAATGTCAGCGTAGCCAGCTCCCCAGCCCTGCAACACATGGACGCATGATGAGGATGTGGCGAGGATCACATCTGATTATTTTATGACTGCATTTGTGTACAGATATAACGGGAAAATCCTCTACTGGTCAATGCAGCTGTAGTCTTTGGTATGATAAAATGCTACGTAACTTGTCACTTACAAATCTGATAATTTAATTAATTTTTGCTTGAAGGAGGAGTAAAAAAAAATGAGAGAAAACTGCATAAAACCAGTTACATTTTAGTACAGTCTGATGTTCAATTCAGCTTGGAAAACATGCAGTACTTATTTCAATAACATTTAGATTTTTTTTGTTGTACACATGCCTGCCTCTTGTCTCCATGGTCGCTTCATAAGCTACAGCTGCAAATATTATATTAATAGCTACTGATCATTCACCTATTATTCTTATCAGGCATAAAAGCCCTCAAATGTAAGATGATATTGTTGACCAAAAACTCAAACAGCGTGTGGGTCATTTAAGCAGCAGATCTACCTTAAACTACTTGGCACTTGCTCATTTTGTATGAGCATACATATGATCTGTACCGGTGTACAGAGCTTGCCAGTGAACAAATTCACTAAGGCAAGAATGGACGGCCTCAGATGCAAGAAGCCCTTCCAAAAAGAAAAGGAGGATGTGGAAAAACAGTTGTCTCCTGTTGCTGTTATTAAAACAAGTCAGGCTAAGCGTGAACTGAAGTTTTAGTGCGTATTTATCAGCAACGCAGACAGCCAATGTGGTCTGATTATTATTACTTTGTGGGTAAACTTTTTCCACCTGCATCTCGTCCTCCTGTTACAGAGTAATAACAACCTGGAAGCTAAAACTGGTAGCTCTGGTTCAGCTCAGTCATTTGCAAACATTTTTGTCACAAGGTTTAGTTTAGTTTATTAAGCTACAGCAAAGCCACAGCTATTCTTCCAAGTGTCCAACAGAATTACATATACAAGAAAACAGAAAACATTATAAACGCAGAACAAAACAAAAGCCAAGTGAACTTTACACTTCCTCACATCTTGATGTACACATTAAATGTACCAGGTGTACAAGGTACACCTTTACATATGAGTATACCTATAAATGAACATAAATCAGACCTATTTAAAGACACACAGTTATAAAAACCACTGGACTGACCATACTGTGCGCAGAGCAGTGTCTCACATCTTAAATTCACTTTACAGTGAAATAACTACAAAGTGGTGCAATAATCAGGTTAAAATCTAGAGATCTCTGGATGAAGCTAAACCCCCAACGTGTCAAGATCCTAACAACACCTTACACTACAGGTGACTAATGGGAGGGGGTCACACATGGCTTTGAAACTAGCCACATCACCGGTAGCTAACAGCAAAGCTTTCTGGTGTTGTAGCTGTGTCTCAGCAGCATGACTGCACAACTACAGTACAGATAACCAACGACAAAACATTCCTGTGGTCAACAATCTCCTGTCGCTTGTACTGAATGTTTATACGTGGCCTGGCTAAGCACCTAACATTAGCAAGGTTTGCTGCAGCAGAAGTACGAGTCTTACAGCCTTGTCTCTGTCGTCCCTGCCGGCAGCACTCTGGTTTTTCTGCCTCTGTCTGCTTCTTTTCCCCATTTTGGAATAGCAGACAACTCTGGAGAAAAGTCTGCGGAAAAGCGTGGTGGATGGAAGCGGAGAAAAGCGTCCTATAACTCGGATAAAAAGTCAATGAGATGAGCCGCTGCGCTGTGTTTCCTCGGAGCGTGCTGCCTCTGACGCACGTGAAGCAGGACCCCTCCGAGGTGGCCGCGAAATGTGCCTGAACGAAAGTAAAACATCTTCGGGGCCATTTTTTGGGGGATATTTTAAATAGTACGACACAGAAATATGATTGTGATTGCTTAAGTGTAATGCAGCATGATTACACTATTAACCAAATTCGCTTTAAGTTAGTTTTTCTGTTCATTTATATATTATATTACTGCATTTGTTCCAGCTTAACTTTTCCGTTAAACGATGTGTTGTGTATGTTTTTCTAATTTAGTATGTCGCGGTAGTGAGCCGTCAGCTAACAAAGTTTATAGTCGATTTATGCAAATTAATTCATGAATAATTTAACGACAACCAGCGTTGATTCAACACCGAGCGTTGTGATTGGCTGATAAGATCTGTTGTCGTATCTGTTCAAGAGCTGTGATTGGTCCGTCTCAGTCACGAGCAAGCATGCCATCTATAGCACACTGGAGTGTTGCCTCGTGAAGCAGCTCTTATTCAACTAGGTAGTGACTGAAATTAAGATTACATTTTTATTGTTTCGCCTTCTAATTTGGCAATATTAGCTCTCTCTCGTCGCAATGGACGCGCTCCTCTCCAGACTCTTCTCCTCTGAAGACGAGGAGCTGTACATTTTGGACTGCATGGGCTACTTTATGGTTTTCATGGCAGCCTGCACTTTCGTTAGTTTGCTTTTCGAAAACGTCCCGTACGGTCGATATGCTTCGAGCAGGTATGGATTTCCAGTCAATGTGAGGTTTGCCTGGTTCGTTCAGGAGCTGCCAGCCTTCTTGTTGCCTTTCTGTCTGGTATTTTGGACGTCCTCTGCAAAAACATCCCTGTTGCCAAACCAGCTGCTCATTGCCATGTACTTCTGCCACTACGTCCAGAGGTAGGTCCCCCACAATGAATGAAACCACAGCTGGGGTCATTAAAGTCTGTAGTTTGTGTCACTTAAGTACCACAACATGGGAATCCTTATAAGTAGGATTCAACTGATAGTGTTTTTCAGGGCTAATATTGGTCCAGATTATTATAATCAAGGATGCTGATGCTGAAAATTTACAGTAAAAGTAAAATTTATAGAATCAAAATTTAAAGCAAACTCCAACACAAATGTGAATGAATTTTATTAATATTTTTCCTTCAGTCTTGGAAGGCTATCCCAGCAAACAGGAAACATCAGGGAACGCTCCCTGAAGGTTCTCTGACTGTTTTTCAGTTTGTTGTGAACACAGCCCAGAAAGCAAGAACCTTCAGGGAACATTTCCTGAAGCTTTCTGTTTGCTGGATGTTGCTCGTGACTTACAACCAATCAGAGAGTGCTGAAGGCAGGACAATGTTCAAGACCACACAGTGAGGAAAATAGATATGAGGAGGCAGTTGCATCACTGCCATGGTAACACATTTTAAAATGATTATCTTATACTGGAAGTCAGTTGTTGTATCCAATAATCAACCAAATCGATAATCGATCAACCTGTAATTTTTCCAAATGCCACAGGAATAGATTGTCAAAAGGTGCATTGTATTTATATAGTATGTTAACTGATCCATGTCATTATAAAAGGCCAGTATTTGAAGTAACTGATGCTTGTTAATAATTTTTTTTCCTCCACTGCAGAGCCCTCATCTATCCATTTTTAATCCGAGGAGGGAAGCCGACACCATTTGTGTCGTTCGCCCTGGCCTTTGTTTTCTGCATGTATAATGGCTACATGCAGGTCAGGTACCTGAGCCATTACGCTGAGTATCCATCATCTTGGGTTACACATCCGTGCTTCATCATTGGTAGGTGATCTTTGTCTGGTTCCCTACTTATAAGTTTTCATTGTTTTTTTTTGTTGTTGTTGTTTTTAGTTTTTAAAAAAAAACTGTGTATGCACATTATTATAAAATGGTGAAAAAATATGTTCTGGAAAAAATGTGCTTTAGCTGATGAATTGGGACAAGAATCTAGGAAGATGCAGGCTCCTTATTTGCTACCATCTCATAATTATATTCTTTAACTCAGGGGTCTCGAACTCCGGTCCTCGAGGGCCGCAATCCTGCAAGTTTTAGATGTTTCCTTCTTCCAACACACCTGATTCAAATGATCAGCTCAGCATCAAGCTCTGCAGAAGCCTGATAACGATCCTGATCATTTGAATCAGGTGTGTTGGAAGAGGGAAACATCTAAAACTTGCAGTATGTGGCCCTTGAGGACCGGAGTTCGAGACCCCTGCTTTAACTCCTCAGTTCTTATACTCTTCTTGTTTTCTCCTAAATTTGATTGCAAGAATTTGGTTTTAAAAAGGAAAAGCATGACTCTTATTTACACTCTTGTCTTTATTGTCAGTCCCGTTTTTTTTAATTTATTTTTTTTACATTTTTTGGCTTATGCTTCACCACAGGTGCCTCTCAGGCATTTCAAACCTCAGCGCCAGCAGTTTTTCTTGGCTTCTCTTTGCTATTCAAGCAAATTCAAGAAAATGTTATAGACCTTATCAGACCTTGCATCTATATCAGATAAAGGCAGGTGATACAGAATGAAAGAAGCCACAGCTGAAGAGTCATTGTGCAAGATTGCTCTCAAAATTAAAGTAAGAAAGGAAGCTTTTGCTCTTATCTACTTTCAGCATTTTCTGACCCACTCTTGACATGAAAAGATTCCTCCGACAATAGAGATCAGCCACAGCATTAAAACCACTGAATATTAATCCTCGCTTAAATACATCGTTCTACTGTGAAACCTTAAGTCCTGCCATTGGTGTGGATGGTACTTTGACATGCACCACTAACCCTAAACATTGTTGGAGACTCAAGGGGCTGATCTGTGTTTCAGTATATGAACTAAACACAACGTTGACTTTCTGAAGTAATGAGCATTTTCTGTAAACCTAGATTTGGACAAGAAGATAAATACTGTGTATTGAATTAGCAACAATACAAATCTCATACTGATTGAAATTTATATTCCATTTTTCACTAAATACATTGCCTGAAATCTGTAATAATAATAGCCTGATAATCAGACTTTTTCAACACTTCATTACAAATGGCAGTTCAGTCTGAGACGTGGGTGGCAATCCAGAGGTCTGCACCCTGGCTGATATACTGTAATTAGGCTGATTGGTGTGATTAGCCCACTCTTTCCACAGTCTATAGCAAAAGGCAAAAATGTCTGAGTGCAATGTATGAATTATCATGCATATATGTATTTTTGTTTGTTTTTAATAACTATTGTCAGCACTGAAGTAAATTTGTTTGTCTTGATACAGGTCACATATAGTGCTAATGTGCCCCACTAAACAGAATTACATCTCTGTGTCCATGTAGTGTGGTGTACCAGATTTATTATGGTATTGTAGGTCACAGCAGCAACAGTACTGATGAACAGGAAATGAAGACCAAACACATGCTGTCATTTTTTCTAGAAATGCTCGCAAATATGTGATGCCACAATGATTGGAACCCTGGAGACATGGCATACTACTTGCACAGATATTAGGACGGTGTACAAAAGGCTGTGGCAGTGCGTTTGTTAACAAGTCAACAGATTACCATAGCAACGCCAGCTCAGACAGGCCTCAGAAATCCCAGTGGGTAGTGTCCCTAGTGGGTCTTTAAAACCAATGGATGGATGGTAGAAAGTAGGTGGACTATTGGTTTGGTGGCTATTTTGAAGGTCCCATATAAGTCTCACATGTCCTCACAGTGCATCTCTCAGTTTTTCAGCTCAAAATACTGCAGAAAAGTTGTTTCATGTCCGTGGTTTTAGGGCTGTTCTAAATGAGCTGTTTTGCTGAGAAAGCCAAGGAGCTTCTGCTGTTCATGCCTCTTTCAGGAAGAACACGATGTGTGCCTCTGCTCCGTTTGAGCTGGAACACTATCGGTTAGTTCAGTGTCACACAGCAGATTCCTACTGGCTTGTAGAGCTGAATGGCAGAAGTTATCGACATCGTGTCTTAACAGCTTTTTTATTTTACAACTCCACGTTTGTAACAACCACAAAACACATTAAAAATGGATTTTCACCATTTGGGACCTTTAAAGCCAAGGAAATACTTTGTGTTAAATGTTTTCTTCATTGCTTGTTTGTTATTTTAGGGTTTTTATGCTAATTTAAGCTATGGCTGGAGCGCTTTAAGTATATTTTTGATAAAGGATTTGTTCAGCTTGTACAAAGCTGAGCTAATTGCTCTGTCTTTTCTGATTATTACTATTTGACTTTATATATTTTTCTTGATATACTAGTGTGAAGGATTCCTCTCCAAACCAAGACCTCCACACCTCTACACTGTGGAAAGCAGATAGAAAGACTATATCTGATGCCTTAAACCCTTCCGTAAAGTTTTATAGGGCCAAGTCCAGTCTCTGTATCCCGACCCAACACCTCGTAGTGGTGAAAAACTCCTGAGCCAGCTGAATTTATCACTGCATATGCTAGTGTTCTTCTCATGTCCCTTTTTGAAAGAAAGCAAACAAGAGTATTCATTAAAATGTTTAAATGTTTTTGTGAAAGTACAGATTTGCTGCCTGGTTTTTGTCAGTAAAATGTCTTGGTACAGCAGTTTCTGGTTTCGTCTCCAGGGTCTGTTCTGTGGTTGGTCGGCTGGCTAGTGAATGTGCACTCTGACCACATCCTGAGGAACCTGAGAAAGCCCGGAGAGACTGGGTACAAGATTCCCACAGGTAAGGGCTTCAGTCAGTCCACTACATCTACAGTCCAGACACTGGTTTGGTTTATTTTAGCCTGTTATGCTTCCCATTGATCGGGCTACTGTGGCGCGAAATGTCATCTAACTTTGCACTCTTTGCCTCCATTGTGGAGATTCAGGCAGACGGCATTTAGCGGGAGGGCAATTAGCATTAACTCCCTGCAGCTTTCCAACGCAAGTCGATTCTTATATGAATCATTTTAAATGTTTGTTTTTGATTCTGACTAAAAGTAAATACAGAAATTAGCCACATGGAATGCATGTTTATCTAACGGAATTAGTTTTTACTGGCCATATGGAGAACTGAGCGTTTCTTCGAGTTGATTTTGGGCAAGTGAAACACCATCTCCAGTATGGCAATGTTTATCAAAGCTGCAGATTCATTAGACGTAGTTCCACAGCTGGGATTGCTTTCATTGTCTGGCATCAACAGGTCCCACTCGTTGCAGCAAAGTTTTTGTTGTTGTTGTTTTTAAACAAGCACAGAAACATCACCAGTTTCCAGGGGGTACATTGTCTTTTAGGACATCCTGTTGTCTTCATCCCCACAGTGACATTCAGCCTCACGCATGTAAACAAACTCATGTGTGCAGATGTATGTGTCAGTAATTAGATCAGCACGTATCCCTCATGGTGATTCCTAATGCATTTGGCACAATGTCCATTCCTGGCAGCTAGTTTCTTTGTTTAACTTTGATCAGATTGAAAACAAACATTTGAAATAATTTATGTAAAAAGCTGCTTTCTTTGGAAAACTGCTGGGAGATCACACTAAATATCCCACTTAACGCTGTTCACAAGTTGTTTTGAGCGACTGCTCATTTCCCAAAAACTTAACAATGGAGGAGCCGAGTGCAGAAATAGCATGATGCATTCACTGCCACATTCATGAGGAATACACCAGATTGAAACAAACCAGTGTTTTCTTTGTTCATCTATGTATATAAATTTAGCAGATTTGACTTTATTTGGACATTTATATGTTTTTTATTCTTTAGGTTCTGAGCTTGAGCACATGCAACCTGAAATAAAATACTGGGTACGACACTGACAGGGCTCCAGACTAACTTTTTCACTGGTAGCACCAGTGCGACCAACTTTCTGATTTGGTTGCATCTCGCACCTTGTCACAGGCAAAACACATCACTTGTTGAACATCTGCTGATTGTTAGACGCTACAATTTACAGATGTTCCCCACGTTGCAGGCTGTGGTAGCTACTGCTTGGTGGCTGCAGTGCTCAGACAGGTGTATGACCGAAAAATACTTAGAGAAGAGTTATACTGGGCCATTCTAGTGTCAGATTTGTCTGGAATGAAACCAAGTATTTCTTTTGTACAAAGTGTAGCTCACCTACATGCGCTGTTCAGCTCATAGAAAACGGCAAATGCAGGTGAGCTCCACATTTCATGAGAAGACTGCCTTTTTAAGTGTAAATACCACAGTCCACCAAAGTTATGAAAGTGCTGCTTTCCACCACTGTGGCTAGCATAGTAGCTGCATGCGCTGGTTACAGTGACACCAAAACAGCTTAACGATCATCATGCACTCACACGAATGCCACCAGTTGAAATTTCAACTCACACACTCTCAAAAAATAGCTGCAAATGAGACCAAAATGGTTGTAGTCTGGAGCCCTGATTGATAATCCCACGTTTTTAATCTGGCGTTTTATCTGCCTGTGTATTGGTTTGAAACCAAGTTATTTATAAAAAAAATAAAAAATAAACCTTTGCAACAAATAACTCTAAAATACCAAAACTTGTGAATCACGCGATTCAAATCATGTGAAATCACCAAATCAGCTCAACATCATGTTCTACTGTAAAACGCACCTTGTAAATTAAGATGAGCCATTATTTTGCTCATTCATTAAGCCCATAAACATCTGTGTGATGTACATGGAAAAACTTCCACTGGACTTTTTAATGCTGACGACACAATTATCAAGTTGCTGCCACCAGTGTTTTCTAATCCAGCCTGTCTAATGAGGATGTCACCTGTCTGTACAGTCAGGGCCGTTCTTAATGTGTTTGTCACCCATTATTTTGCTCATATTTGTCAAACTCTGAAGATGACTTAATTCTCAGCTCAGCAGGACACAACCTCTCAGCTGAGAACACACACACACACACACACACATCCATATCAAGGCAAGTGGCGGCGGGACTGATGCAGACAGATGGGGCCGCTATCATCTTGCTCGCTTTGTTTTGAAGTAGAGGCTAGGGGTTGTAAAATGTACGTGCGTAGCGAATTGCAACTTGTTACTCAAAGCTATTTAATTAGAATCAAAAATTAATATAACGAAGTAGGCTGCTGGACTTGAATGAGTAGTCAGTTAGCTGGCTGGCAGCTGGCACTTACAGGGCCGTGGCACTGCACTATTATACTTTAACTGTGTTTTCTTTAGCCACCCTAACAATCTACAATGAAACATACTTGCTTAAAATACTGACATTTAGCACTGTGAAATTAAATCAGTCTTTAGAAATGGTGTTTTTTTTTTTACAGTGCATTTTAGATTGTGCTGTTACTTCTTCTTAACTTCAGAGTCTGGATGTTTTTTTTTCCAGCACTGCTGTGGGGTGACAAGGAAGTCAGGAAGAACAGTAATCACATCGTGGCACTGAGCACTGCGGTCTCCGAACGCTAGATGCTAATTTTCCAGTGTGGTCGCATGATTATACAGGATCACACTGTAAGCAGAATCACAGGTTGTCACTAGTTATCTTCTCCTCCCCGCTTTGCCCTCTGTGAGCCCTTACATTAGTGTAGAAAAGGACTCTAATATAGTCCAAGTCGCAGTGCTTGTAATGTGTATCGTTTTGCTTTCACTGACAATTTTCTAAACCGCACAGTGTTGATAGTAATCATGTTGGACGGCGAGCCAAGCCTACGCTGGAACACGTACATTATACGTCTGTACATGTGCAGGCCAGACTGATTCAATATTCATGCTAAATAAAGCATTCAGCCGTAAAGAGCGTTCATGTCAATATGACTCCCATATGTGGTTGTAAATTCTTCTTTTTCACAAGATGGTTAAAGAATACTGATAATATATATATATATATATATATATATATCCATATTTCTGTGATCTAATTGAGGGAATAGTTCGTGTATTCATACACACAAAAAAAAAACATGCAATTTATGCAAAAATCTAAGTGTAAAAACATCCAGTCGGGGTTTTACAGAGGCCAGTCAGCTGTTTCTTCTTGTTTCCACTGTTTATATTAAGCTAGGCTAACGGACTGCTCACTCCAGCTTCAGATTGAACAGAAATCAAACTACTTTCTTTCCCAAAATGTCAGCTGTTTCTTTTAAAAAAAAAAAAAAAAATGGGGGCTCATTCCTTTATTTGTTTAGCAAATTCTTGGAACAAGAACCCTGAAGACAGTTCTCTGCACTCTGTTTTATTTCACTTGTTCTAGATCAAATAACTACCGTTGGGAATATTTTATGTATAACTTTATTTTCTATTCACTGACTCTTGGTAACATCAGTGTGCAGTGCATATGTTATATTACCATCACAGTGACAACAAAAACTAAAAGCAGGCTAAACAGATAAAAGTGGGATTTTTTATTTTTTTTAAGTGCATGACCTTTACTATGTGAAAATGGATGAGCATTCTATGAGATGTGACATGCGAGGAGGGGGTTGGGTAAACAAGGCTTAGGCTCATCTCCAAATTCCTTTCGACAAATAGCCTGGAGGGAGGTACGTAGATAAAGCTGTATATTTGGCAAATTCGAGCCATAGGTTGGCTTTTTTTTTTTCCCTTCCTTTCCTGAATGAATCAGTAATCATAACAGCTTTACAGAAAGAGTGGCTCCCCTGACTCAGAACATAGTCACAACAATAGCACCTTGAGCCTGAACTTGCAGTGAACCTGTTGAAACAATCCGTCCTGGACCCTTAAGGAAAATAAAGTGGAAAAAGGCGAGGCGGGAGGAAGCTGTGAGCTTTGTTGCTCCAAATCAACTTCCAGGCACGTCTGGAATCCCCTCAGCCAAGAATCTGCCTTTTTCACATAGAGGGTAGCGGCGTTGTCGAGCACATGGCCTGCAGTCAAATAGTGAGTGCTCAGCCATCTATGGTCAGTGTGGAGCGAGTCGTATGAATGCCCTTTGAGTTTTTTTAACAGCGTGTTGCATCCAAATTACGTTTGCAGATAGTGGAAATGTCACTACTTACTCTGTGAAAAGCTATTGAATTATATTTTCTTCCAATGTAAAATATTTCTGGTTGTTTCTGCTTCAGTGAATGTATAACAGGATAAACCCACCTTCCCTAATTTCAGTGTCTTCCACCCACAGGCGGAATGTTTGAATACGTATCTGGGGCCAACTTCTTAGGAGAGATAACAGAGTGGGCCGGCTTCGCTCTGGCTGGCCACTCTGTTCACAGTTCAGCTTTTGCCATCTTTACTACAGTGGTCCTCGCCAGCAGGGCTGTGGCCCACCACAAGTAAGAATAACAACACACACACACACACTCAGTAAGAAGGTTTTCCTGGACTGAGCTCTAGACTTTAAAGAAAATGCTTTATTAATAGAAAAATGTCTCTCCCGTCTTTGTTGCTCTGCAGATGGTACATTGCAAAGTTTGAAGACTACCCTAAAAACAGGAAGGCGTTGATTCCCTTTCTGCTCTAGAAAACGTGGAGCTTAAGCGGAAGCTTGAAAAGGTACTGTATTTGCTTGCAGCAGTTGAGAGGAACATTCCCTTAATTTTTTATTTTTTTTAATTCAGGAAAACTCTGATGTCTGAACAAGCCTTGAAGAAACCTAATTGTTCTCATTGAAAGCAGACACACACAGTTTGGATGCTTGTAAATGATCTCATCTGAGCTGTGAGCAAGCAACAGTTAAAAGCCATCATCTTAAAAAGATTTTTATTGTTGCCATTACTTTGGTAATAATATCCATAAAGCACCATGGAACCTCAGCAAGCATGCACTGAATGTACTGCAAGTGTTGTGCTTGCAGCAGCAGCAGCAGCAGCAGCAGCATTTAGTGCTCCTCCAGAGGAAATAAGATAGTGAACGAGGTGTACCTCAGCAGTACTACGTTGGATTTATAACACTATGCACCAGCAATAAACAGCTTTAAGACTCTCCTCTGATCTGCATATTCTCCCAGATGGAGCATAAACTTGGGAATGCAAAGCAGACATTTAAAGTTTTCATTAATCCTCGAGTCTCATCTGTTGAAAATCCATCTTTTTTAAAAACATTTATTCAAATTAAATAGACGAGTGAGGAGGCGTGAATTAAGTCCAACCCGTCTGCCTGCTGCGTTTTGCTCTGGGTGTCATCAGAGAGACTTTTCTACTGACCTCATCATCTGAAGCTCCTGGAAGAGAAGCCGCTTTGGAATAAAAAGGTAACTGCGTCTGTTGGCCTGCAAAGACTGAGACCATATCAGGCCTGTCTCCAGCAAGTGGGCTGCAAGAGAAATCAAACGGAGATCAAGCGTGGCTCAATAACTCAACCATGCCTGAAATGAGAAGACGAGAGAGTTGCCTCAACACATCACTCCTGTTGGGGTTTCTGAGAAGGAAAGGAAAGAAGAAGAAGAAGAGGTGGAGAAGAAATGGAAGACACAGACAGCATGTGAATGCAGGAGCTTATCTGATACTGAATGTTTGTGTGATTGAAACTGGGAGAATAGATAGGAAACGGAAACACTGGTACTGATCTCAACGTCTCTTTTGCTCTGTTATTTTTCACTGTTACCAAGAGCCAGATAAGCTCAGTCAGCGTGAGCCAGGACTTTTCTTAATCGTGTCTTTCTTTGTAGATAATAAGAATGTGATTCAGTGTTTCTCCAAATAGTTTTAAGCTGAAAGCAAGTGCAAATATTTCATCACTTTGGTAAAAGAAATCTTTTGCAAATTAAGTTCAGATACAAATGAAAACGACACTGGTTTGCCTCTACTGTATATCCTGAAGCTTTCCACAGTGCACCTGCTCTAAACAGTGCCAGCTGCAGCTTCTTCCCATAACTCTTCTCTTTTCTGTCACCAGTCACCACCAAGGTTATGCCATTAGGAATTTTAAAAACATGTATTTAAAGGAAATTTATTTTGTCGTCATTTTTACGCACAATGTCGTCAATAAATGATAGAACTGCCGCGTCTCAGTGTGATGAAATATGATGGCTGCGTGTCGCTGAAGGCTATGCAGAGTGACATCCTTCATGTTCCAGGTCCTCACCGTCTCCCCCTTCTCTCTTCCAGGCTGTTTCCCCCTGTGTATCCTCTTTATCCACGCTCCTTGTAATTGCATCACTATATTACACGACCACTATTTACCGAGCCCGACGTTTGACTGTAACCATTCATCTTCAGACAGGCGGCAATGGATTTTCTTTTTATATGCAAAGCACCTCTGTGAAATGGCTCTCAGAGTCAAAATAATCAGTCACATACAAGGGGGGGTTATCCTGTAATATTCAATGTATAGATCCAAACCTGTGGAAAAGCAGCTTTGGTCTACAATGCTGCCTTCTACAAACAAAGAATCGCTTTGTGTGCCACCTTCAGGCAAAGAGTGTTACAACTACAATTTATTTTTATTTCATTAATTACAGTTTCCTTTAAATCCTGCTGGGCAACTATCTGCGTGTTTAAGATGTCACATTGTGGCTACATAACCCTAAATGCTAGCTTTTTAAGATTTTGTATTTTTATTATAAGTGACCAATTATAGAATTCAAATTATATCACTTATTTTCTTTTATTCTTCTTCACAGACTCCAATTGCCGTAGCTGTTGTTGGTTTGCTAATGTGTGACGTAGAAAGGAATGCATGAAAACAAACACAACATGTGTACAATAAATAATTTGATACAGTCACTGCCTGCAGGTGAGGAACATATTGTTTGAGGAATTCCTCCTTGCTTGTGAATGGCACACACTGGCATGCTTAAATCTTTCAGGTCCAAGCTGCAGTTGTTTTCTTGCATTTCGGTTTAGCTGCAGGTCCAGATCACAGACTGTACATAAAGTCTGTGGCCCAGATTTGCACTCCTGCAGTTAGATGACATGAGCTGGGTCCATTGTGTCGGTGTCCTTGTTATACCGTGCCTAACCGTGCAGTGAGGGCAACACGCCGCAGGCAATATGTTCATGTGTAGAAATTCCAACTTGCTGTTGACATTGTAAATGCAGTTTTCCACTAATGTGGGTTAAATATCTGGAACATGCTGCAGCCTCATTACTATTCAAGCCACATGCAGCTTCAGACAAGTGCCTGCTTCCTTAATAATATCTCCTATCACTGTTATGCCCATGAGCAGTGTTGTTGACTTCTCCAGCCCTGTCTCTATTTATGCATGTGTGTGTGTGTGTGTGTGTGTGTGTGTCAGGCATCTGTCAGCCATGGTCCAGTCGTCACCAATGTGGTAATCCCATAAAAGCTGACAATGAGGCAAACCAGCCTTGCAGTCACACTCACACTGGTACACAGTGTCGGCATTTGGCTTGAGAGGAGTAACCCATTCAGTGTGTCACTCAAATGGCCGTGCTTCATACAGTGTAAGATAGAGGGAGATAGAAAGATAAGCTTGGATTTCTACAGGCGTACAGTGGGAGTGAGCAGCTGCGTATATGTGTGCCCGAGTGTGTTACACAGAGAGCTACATATCCTAGCCGACACATAGTTTGCTCTGGGGGGTTTTCCTTGACTCTGTCACATGCTGCACGTGAGCAGCAGAGGTTGGGGGCGGGCATTATGCAAGACACCCTCTCCCTCACTCTCTTTAACATGCATACGCATCCCAGAAGGTGCTGGTTATGTCTTATCCAGCCTGCCGCGGCTCCATCACAGAGCTTAATGGGATAGGAGACGGCTGTTACTGGGGCTGATACAGAGTCTGGAGTGATCAACACCACCTGCTGTGTACTACCCCCTTCAAAAATGAGCATTTGGATTCAGGGGCCGCAGCTTGCATCTGAAATAATAAACAGAAAAAGAAGGAGCTCCATTTAGACAGTGAGAAAAAAAACAGAACTCTGTGCTACCCTGTGGACTGCAGTGTGAGTGTACTGCTGCACGTACATATGTATGTGAGCAGCATCTAAAAGGCCAGAGGTTGTGATTGTGGACCCCTGCTGTGTTACAGATGCCAGCTGACAACAAGATGTAGTCTCTGTTTAATGTTTATGTAAATTGTGCTTTGTTGAAGTGTTTTAATGCTCTCTTTCAAGGATTTAAAATATTTGTAGTGGGGTTTTTTTTGTTCCTGTTAGAGCTTTCCTATGACATGAAGCTGTGGATTAGCCACAAAGAAAGAAATTCCCCAGAGGGCACCAGACTCTTAATGTCTCCAAGCTCCACAGCACTGCATTTATAAAAATATATTTCATCCTTAAAATTTCTGTTTAATAATGACAGCTGTGTGCACCTCGGATATTAACAGTTATCTATCATTCCTGCCAAATTCAGTCGCTGTCCAGCCTTATATTGATGGGGGATCCCCTGTGAACCCACCCACCCTTTTCCTCCCCCCTACCCACCCACTGGTGATGGCAGGGAAGTTGAGCTCGTGTGCGCAAGGACCTCTGGGTTATCAGGCACCGCTTCGGAAGCCTCTGTTCCAGGATCGCTTTATTTCATCACTGACATTTTTACCGTGCGCTTCAGTTGTTGTTCAATTAAACGTATATCAAGTAATTCAAACATTTATTCTGTGCAGTTCATCAGCCGCCCAGCTGAGGGGTGATGAAGGAGTGGGCGAATGGGGGGCGCAGTCATCGTTTAAGAAACCCCTGCCAGAGCGCATGCGCATGGATTTGAAGAGAATACGCCATATTGAATTCCCGTAGGAATCAGCTAGCATTTTTTCCAGCTAGCGGTGTAAAGGGGCCACTTTATCAATGGTCCTAATTCGGTTTAATGTTTAAATTCGTCTCTTTTCGTAATCCCGGACAGCGTAGCGACCATTGAAAGGTCCAGGGAGCGGCGCAGATTCACAACGGGCTCGCCTGTGTTAGTTAGGTACTTGTAGGGGGGTGACCAGAGAAAAGAAGTTGAATGGATCCGAGGGTAGCTTGGATTCAGCCCGAACAGAAAGGACCTGCGAACGCCTTATGGATGCACGTCTGGGAGACCTCTCAGGGAGTACGGACGCTCTCCGCTCAGCAGCAGCTCCACAATCAAAACCACAACCAGTGTGTGAATTACGCGGCGTTGGATGTTTTAAAAAATGTGGCGACCGCGGTGGCATCGAGCAAGAGCGTTTGCAGCAGCAGCAGCAGCAGCAACGGTAACGTTACTGCCAGCCTGAGCAACGGCAGCAGCAGCAGCAGCAGCCATCACAGCATCATGAACGGCACTACACACAGTAGTAGTATTAACGGCACTGCGATTTCCTCGCTGGGAATAGCGCTGTCCAACGGGAACGTACACAACTCTTTCACCACGACAAACGTCGCCGAAGCAGGTGAGGGAAAAATCCTGCCCCAGAAGACGGGATCCGTCTCCTCTTCGTCTTCACAGGAATCCGGGACGGACAGTCCCCCTTCTAGCTGCTCACTTGAGAGGACTATGGGTGGAAATGTGACGGGCAACATGAATAAAAACGTCGGGGGTGCCAACCTTCTCTTCAACTTGAGCGACAACATGGACAACAATGTCAACCTTTACCACCACCACCACCACCACCGTCACCTACAGGAGCACCCGGCTTTCAATTTACAGCAGATTTGCGTGAAGCGTTATCAGGTTCACCCCTCTGTACCTGTAAATCACACACACAATCACCATCCAGGCCGAAGGAAAAGTGACAACAAGGCGAGCACTTATGGGATGAATTACTTGCTTTCAAACTGCACTAATGGCAATTATGCGAGCACTTGGACGCCCTGGAAGACGAGGAAGTACAACCCCGGGGTCCTTGGGTGAGTGGCTGAGCACAACACCCCTGGGGGGTGGGGGGGGGCTAAACTTAAGTAACGTCTGTCTTTCAGTGCTCGTTTAAATGGTTGAAAGTTGTTTGCATTTTCTTACTACCAAATAGAATCGTATTTATTTGTCTGCTAACGCAATTGCACACAGTATTGCAGAATATTTTACAGTTGGGCTGTTAGCTGGGCTTTTTTTTTTTTCCTTTGCCGTTGGCTGGTTAGCTAAATCACTACCGTTAGATAACTGCGAGAAGACGACCAGGGCTGTGATTTGTCTCCTAAAGTTTAAACTGCACCGCTTAAAAAACACACACATTTTCCAACAAACTACACAGAACTACAGCCTAATGTGAGCAGTTGTGTAATAACCACAACGTCGAAGTTTGTTGGGTCATTTATTTTAGAAGGTTTCCACCGGATTTGCTGCCTTTTTTTTTTATGTAGTCCGTTTGTTAGCATGACAGCTAACTTAGCTAACGGATTTCCCTTTAGCCTCGACGTTAAGTCAGGAAGCTAGCAATTTAAAACTGCATTTCTAGACTTTTTTTGTCAAATGAAATTGAACAGAATAAACTCGAAATAGCAAAACAAATAAATATAAAATACCAACTCGTGCTAGTAACTGAACTGTGACACCCGGAGGCGAGCTCCTGAGTTAATTGCTTGATTATAGAAGTAGTAGGTTAGTATGCCTAAACGTAAAGGAGAATATTATATGTTTTTATAGTTTTTAATGAATTTTTCTACACTTGTTGAAAGTAAAGTTGAGTTACGTGTTTACTCCAATGTATAAAGTTGTGGATAATTTCTCTCAAGTTTGAATCTGGGTGCACTCACAGAGGACTGTCTTGTTCCTGGTTATTATTTATCCATCAGCCTGGCATACCATTAATGGGTGGGTCTTAATGTACTTAGATCCCACTGATAAAAGTGACCAGACTGACCACACATTAACTGGAACATATATTTCAAGATTAGTCTTACTTTCTGTTTCCTGTGAATGCTCAGTTGGTGTTGTGCAAATGTGTGACACCTCCACTGTTGGTGTAATAAGAAGTGTGTAACTGAATATATTGGGATTATTATTTTTTTCTTCATAACTGTGATCATTTTTTGCACTGACAGAAGCCTTCCTACCAAACAAATGACCAAAGAAGTTCCAAATGTGTTGCAAGAACTTGTGATATTTGTAATGGCTGCTTGCACCCATCTGGGAATTTTCTGTACAACGAATCAGTGTTTGTCAGGAAAGCAGTTCCACATGCTCTGTGCTAAGTTTCCCCAATGCCTCTAAATCTTAGTTAACTGGAAATCTGAGTTGCTTGCTATGGTTTTGTCCCCACAATGAGTGAATTAATATCATCTTTCATTTTCCTCAGAACATAATTGGTTGTACAGGTTTTCTTATGCAAGTTTTGGCTTGTGCACTGACTAGTCTTGCATTGGTTTTCCCTCAGGGGTGACCTTTGTAGTCCAACATGGGGAGATAGTTGCGCTTCAAAGCGCAATATAAATAGCTTTATTGTTACACTGGATCAATTTTGTGATTACCAGAGATTGAGAATGGGTTAAAGTTGAAGTGTGAATGCAATAAAATAAATTGTTACAGCAGAGTGTGCCGGGGAATATTATTAATTACTTGGGCCTTAAAGTTGTTGAAGTGTGTTTGAAGTTGGAAGCATAAAGAATGTTTGACCTTAAGCTAGTTTGTCAGGGATCGCTGTAGTTGCAGTTCATATTTAGACAGAGAGGTGCCCAGCAATACCTATGTTCTCTATCAGTGCTGGACAGTTGACATAGACACGCCCTGGTCCGGCTGGTTTGCTGGCAGAGTTTTCACCAAGGAGTGGGCACATGGGCTGAGTGCATTTCCTCCAGGGCTCTGGTAATTGATTGTGACAGTCCCCCTGTTCTGTATTTCACACTGACATCATGGCATGCATTCCTAGAAAAATGAATGGCCACGGGCATGAACAGACTTCCACTGTTCGAAGGCATTTGACTGGTCAGAAATCTTTACATTAACGTGCCCGTCTGCGGTCAATCGCGAAACCGTATCAGCAGTGAGCCTGGGACTCTTCGGGCCTAGTCTGGATGATGTGGCCCTCAGTGTTCTACTAAATCCCCTTTTACAAAATCTCAGGTGTGTGTTGTACCTTTGTCAGCACATGAACCACATGGCCTTTACTGAAGATCAAAAGCATTCTGCAAAGTGTTTCTTCTGCTCACTATCACTAAATATGTTCTGACTTATTTTGTGGCTAGTTGTTACCATAAGGGCTGCAATTACAGAGTACTATACATGTGGCCACATCTAGGTTAGAGAAAAAGGGTTTGATTACAATTAGTTTTTGCCTCTAAAAGGATAGAAGAAATATTTTTATCATATTTATTTAGACTGAAAAAATAAAAACGAGGTCAGTGACAGGCTAAAATGGGTTCTGGGAACAGTTGCTAAAGATGTTCTGATCAACTTTTTTTATTTTTTTCCATGGGTCTGATCCAAGTCTTTCATTAAAGGACATCTTTAAATCAAATCCAATGGTTACTGATAATTTGCATATATAAAATACTGATTAAATATCAATCTGGTACACTGGTGAGTTGTAGCCTCTAAATTTCATGTACCATTTTTAATTCCTGGTCCAAACTGTTACTTTTATCAACCTAAATTACTGCTGTGATAGTAATAAAAGCCCATCTGGGATAATGTGTTTTCTGAAAATGACAAATGCCATTAGCAACAGAGAAGACACATCAACTCTTTTGTAGTTGCAGAAATACTCTGTTACAGAGTGATGCTGTTGAAAACAATCTTTGGTGGAGTACAATCTGCAGAGAGCACAACCAAACAATAGCCAAGATTTTTTATTTTTTTTTTGGCCTGTCATGAAGTTACTCATGAAAATAGACCTAACTGAGAATGGCAGATCTCAATTGATACAGGCAGCTTTTGTCATATGAAATGTTGAAAGTAATCAGGATGGACTAAATGAAAGGGTGATTCCTGAAAGTTTTGAACACTGCCAATAAAAAAAAGAAAAGAGCAGGGTGAGATAACTGAGTTGTTACTAATGGAGCTTCGTGAATTTTGCCAACCCAGGTGTCGGAACAGAGTCAGTGACCTGTGTGACCAAATAATTTCTCACTTCACACTCTCATGTGCAGTGAAATGCTTGCAGTGTAGATGCTGGCTGTCATTAAGGGAGAGCAGCGCTGCCAAACTAGCAGGCTGAGGTGGACACACAGTAGAGTAAAGAACAATCATATTCTGACTTAAACATGCCTGGACCTGCCCCAACACGGCACCTCAGGATCTGTTAAGGATATGGCAAACATTAATAAGAAACAATATGGATTAGTCATGTCTGGTTGATACCTGATCCATTCAAGTACAGTGTCAGCAGCTTAGTTTGTTGCAGTGCTTCTCAGTTTGTTTTTAGGGGTATTGTAACTGTTCAGACGCTGATAAAAATGCATTGTATTTCCACTAGAACATACTGTTCAAACGGTTGGTCTGGCTCTTACATGATCGGGGTTTTAAACAGCGCAGTGAAGGATAGATCAAATTGTGAGCTGTATACTCATTTCGAGATAGCAATGTGAAATATATTAAGATGGTTCCCATTTCATTCTTTCGGTTATTTATGTGTGTGTGTGTGTTGTGGAAGCATCGGAGTGGTGAGAATAACCCTTGTTGCACATCCTCCTTTCTGTCCAGGCTCCACGAAGAGGTGATGGACTTCTATAACTTCATGTCTCCTCGGCCAGAGGAGGCAGCTATGAGGAAGGAGGTGGTGAACCGGATAGAGATGATCATCAAGGAGCTTTGGCCAACTGCAGATGTGAGCTTCACACACACACACACACACACACACACACACACGTGCCTCTATTCATTTGGATTACCTCCCTTCAGGAAATTAATATCTTAGAGAGCGCAGTCTCTTAAATCACACAGTTCACTCTTGGAGGAGGAATTATTGGCACAAAGACAAACTGTAATGTCAGATTGCTCATAAATCAGCGTTGAGATGTTTTGATGGACCTTTTCTTTTAAAATTGTAGAACTATTTGTACAAGATAACGTCAGTTTATATTGACATTTAGTTGTATATCCTCTTTAGCATTTTGCATGTGTTCACATGGATGAGTCATAAGAACATGTGACTTTGCTTTCAGTTATATTGCTGGTGGGTAAGAATTCAGGTTAGTTCAGCTGAAGATTTTACTCCTATACAACTGCTGTAAGGATGGTTTATTAAGTGACATTTTATTGTTTAAAGGACTAGTTTGACATTTTGGGAAACGATGATCACTGTCATGTCAGAGGTTAAAACGGAAACAGCTTGCAGGTCTTAGCGTAGCTTAGCTTTGCATGAAGACTGTCCAAAGATATCAAAATCTACCTGTTAGTGCATCTAAAGCTTGCAAATTAACATGGTAAATCTCATTGGCTTAATACAAATGACAACCTACTAAAGTGTAACTCAACAAGTTGTAGTGCTCGTGTCCATGATTGGTTTAAAGAGCACAGTCCTCCACCAAGGCTAGTGCCATATCTCACAGTTTTAAAGAAAGTGATCCAGTTCCTGGTACTGCATTGACAACATACCTCCACCTCGATGAGGAATAGTTCCCCAAATCTTGATGCAGAGTGGCACTGACAAGATACTAAGCTGTTGTGTTCACATGAACGGGGTATGTTAAAAGCAGTCGACAGTGACAGTCATGGCAGTATCTATCGTTTCTTTTTTTTTTTTTCTCTCTTTCCTAATGACAGAAATGATCCAATCTGTGACTCAAAAGCAGCGATTTGATCTGAATGTGAGATTTATGATCTATTGCAATCCTTATTAATGGTGCTTTATCTGCTGGACAGTTTCACAATGGGCAACCTTAAAGTGACAACTCTAGAAAATTACTTTGCCCATCCAAGAATTAGTCACATGACATCCCAACTCCTCTAAAACCACAGTTTGCTTTTATGTGACATGTAGGGATTTTGATGAAATATCATAAGTGTAGATTTGGTCAAGTTTTCTGACAAAACAGCGCGTTACAGATGAGCATTTCAAGGATCATCAAAAAGCTAAAAATCCAATGATTATTTCTGTTTTTGCACATTTTGGTTCTAATTTTACCCTTTTTTTGGGCTGTTATTTCCTTTCAAGCTTGATGGCAAGTTTCAGGGGCCACAGGGTTAAGAGTCACACTGATATTTAAGAAACACTTGTCTATGTTTGTGCCCAAGTTTCTTTTAAAGCTAACCAGCAAGTCCCTAACCTGGAGCTGATTGTAGTTTCTGTAGAAGGAACAATCAGACTACAGATTAGAAATTTTAAAAAGTAATTAACCCAAAACTAGTTATTAATCAGTGTGCTTTAAAAAAACAACGAGTGCCCATTTATATTTTAAAGCACTTGCACTTTATACGTGTAGAAGTGGGGATGGAGAATCTTGCAGTCAGTTTGGAAAAGTGCATGGAGGTAGGGTTGATGTAATGCCCCTCTCATTACTTAATCATGTAAAACACGCGCAGCAGTGATTTGTTGGCTGCCAGTCTCCCCCACTTCCACTGTGAGCCACATTGTCAGGTAAATGGATCAAGTCTCTGATTTGTACCAGCCTCCCTTTTCATTTCAACCCATTAATCCTGTCCTGTCCTTGTGCTATTGCCTTGTCGTATTTACCAGACGGAAAAGGAAAGAACTTCACTCTGCTTCCTTTTAGAGAGCTTTCGCTTGCAGCCCCCAAGCACAGCAATTTTTTTCTGAGCCATTGTATACTTAATTTGGCAGCATGCTCAACTTGGCATTGTTTACAGTCTCTGAAGTGGAACCCGGAAATACCTCATTCCTGGTAGTTTGCAAACATGCGAACTGGATATACAGAGTTTTTTTTTTTTTGATACAGGATCTATAGTTGTTGCCAAGTCGTCTACGGTTTGAAGGAAATATGAGAGAATGTCATGTAAGCTGAGTTTATTGCTAGCAGTTCAACTACAGTGATTCTGGTCATTGTTTTCATATTTCTTGAACATTGTTTTCCAGGTCCAAATCTTTGGCAGCTTCAGCACAGGGCTGTACCTTCCAACAAGGTAAGTCGTAGTATTCATAAGTAAAGAAAACTACAAGTATCAATTTCAGTCCTGATGCTTTTCTTGCTGGGTAGTAATTTAATGTTCTTACCACTCTTTCCCCCCTCAGTGACATTGACCTAGTGGTGTTTGGGAAGTGGGAACGTCCCCCGCTGCAAGAGCTAGAACAAGCTCTTCGCAAACATAATGTGGCAGAACCTTTCTCTATTAAAGTGCTGGACAAGGCTACAGTGAGTAGAGGCAACCAGGCTGTGTTTCTCAACTGTGCATACGTACATATTTCATCCTGTGTTCATGTTGTGTCTTGAAAATAAAGCCAGACTGCTTTGCATCAACAGAAATAGAATATAGACTTGAATAAAATAGTGATTGACTGTTCCATATCGTGATGCAGTGATTAATGATTTGTGTAATAGGATTGTTTGACAGTTCATTTTCAGTCCTCGTAAAGGTTTTATTCTTCACAACAAGTGATAAAATATTACAACCAAGAGGAGAACTGGAATACACCCAGCCAAATCAACATTTGGCAGCACTTTTTACATTTCTAGAAAAGTTGTCCTGGACTTCAAATGGTCAGTTAGAGCTCTAAAGCTTTGACTCATCCCCTTTGTCATCAATGGAAGGATGCGAGAGGGAAAAAAAAAGAGGAAGCGCAATATACTATGAGGCTCAATTAGTGTCCTCCATCTGTTTGCCTGATAGGGGGCACATTTTGCCATTTTTGTTGAACTTTATGCCTGTTTTTTTCAGGATAAAAATGAGTTGTTTATTGGCCATCAGTGTGTTGTGAATACTGAAATGTATATTATGTCAGCTCTAGCGCAAGCAAAAAAAAAAAAAAATCCATTGTCATTGTCGTCATCTGTTCAGCTGAGATCAGTCCAGTCCAATTCTACCTTAACTCCCCTACATTTTATCAAAGATAAGCCACCGTTCCACAGCTTGGCGTAATGTGTGCACCTACTGTGGTGAAAGTGTTTATAGCTGCAAGTCCCGCAGCGTAGTTTTAGAAATGATAGCTCAGTAACCCACACGCTCATTCTGCGGGGTGCGCGCACAAGCAGGCAAACCACGGCAAGCTGCAATGCCTTCTTGACTGACACGATAATAAGTAGTTAATGGCTCAGTTTTCATTTTTGCATAAGCTATTCCTTCTACAAGCTTGCCAATTGTGACAGATGCACCACCTCTTTGATTTCAGCACACAGCGAGTATGTTTATGGATACTGAGGTGACTGTAATGTTTGCTATTACATTTACCTTCTTTCAGGTGCCAATCATCAAGCTGACAGACCAGGAGACTGAGGTGAAGGTGGACATCAGTTTTAATGTAGAGACCGGAGTCAAGGCGGCAAGCTTCATAAAAGACTACGTGAAGGTGAGGGGCCCTTCTGCCTTTGGAGGCTGTTGGCTACAGCTACATGTGTTATTTTGCTATGCTTTTAATTGTTGAATCTGACCAGGAAGCAACAAACAACAGACAGATGTCCATTTAAGACAGACTAAATGATATCATCCCACAGTGCACATTACAAGGAGTGAAGGGACAGAGCAGGAAAAGGTCATGTAGACATATTTGAATTTGTAAAAAAAAAAAAAAACCCACAAGAGGAGTCACATAATTACCATTTTACAGTGGGGTCTAAATACAGAACTTTGGAAATTCCCTCTGTGAACCAGGCAAGCCAACAGTTTAAAGCATTACACTTCACTTCACTCCCATCTTGTGCTGGCCCATCTCATTTCCAAAGTGAAGCTGGAACAGACCCCAGCAACCGTGCTCAGTATAATCTCCACTTAACTTGACCTGAGTCTGTGTGTTGCTGAAGACTCGGTTGCCAAATCTTCTCAGCGGTGGTAAATTTCACCCCGTGGCTCTGACAGAATTCCTGCTGAAGGTGGATCTCTGCCTGCTTTAGTCACGGTTATAGTAGTGAATCCAGCAGAGGAATTCCAGGTGCTGACGTTCCAGCAAGCTGTCAGGTTTTGGCATTTACCCATTGTTGTCGTTGCATGTAAGTATTCTGATTCTCTGGGAGTACATGTCAGAGCTTGAAATCCTGCTGTTGACAACCTCGCTCAGTGTCAACTCAGCAATAGTTGATGTTGTTAATGCGTGGGCGTGACACACTCCAGTGCAGTCTTGCCATGGAGAGGTCACCCCAAAGTTAATTCTCGTATGTCAACCAAGCTGCTGCTCCATTGGCACACATGCACCCACACACACACACACACACACACTGCCAGGGGGTTATGCCTCCTTTTCAACAGGATATCTGAACATATTTGTAATTCCAATTTCCAGGCCCCTCTGGGGTTTCATAGGACTCTCAAATTTATACCCTTTAAGAAAGTTTGACCCAATTATTCATGTGAGATAGATAGATAGATAGATAGATAGATAGATAGATAGATAGATAGATAGATAGATAGATAGATAGATAGATAGATAGATAGATAGATTACTTCATTGTAATTCAATCAGTACATTAAAAGATATTAAAATGCATTTAGAACGAAATTACAAGCACAGGTCACAGACTAAAAAGGAAAAAAAACTGAAAAACCTAGAAATAGTAAAAGAAAAAACGGGTACCTGAATAAATATAACTAGAAACCATTGTAGATTGTACTAAGGGCCTAAAAAAATCAAAAATAAAATAAGAATATATAAATACATACTCAAACCAGTATTCCACTGCCACAGCTGAAATAAAACATATTGTACCAAGACAAATTTTTGTACCGTATGAACGGGTTGTTAAGTGTCCTGAGAATTTAGAAGTCTAATGGTGGAGGGGTGAAAACATAAATAGAGTGTTATAACAATTAGGTACCAAAAAAATAGCATTATTCAACATTTTGTTTTCAGCAATAATCATGACTTTAGCGAGGCTTCCTCTGGGTGGTTTTCAGCATTATGGCTTTCTAAAAAAAAAAAAAACAATGAGACGGCTTGATCCAAGAGTATGGAAACGGGTCGACATGACAAATTTATAAAACCACCTCAAGCGACAGCATGTCCACTGCATCTACCACTGATGCTGCAAGTAGTTGTGGTAGAAGTTATGCTCGAGCAGCTTACGCCAGATGCTGTCATAAATGTCTACTGCAAGTTGCATGTACATTATGTCATGTTAATGATTATAGTTGCTGAATCAAGTCATAATTTACAATATTGAGTGGACCCTAATTTAAATAGAAAGACTATATGCTTTTGAATTGCTGCTCAGTAATGATTTCAGCTGAGCGGTTATTTAGCCAAAGATTCACACCCCTAATGATATTATAATTAATGACACATTACAGTCATTTGGATGATTTCCTCTCTTCACATTTAATGTAGTCTAGCCGTATCTCTAACTCACTGTATATCATCACAAACCTCTAGTTCTCCTCTGGAACATATACGACTGGAGCCTGAGTCGGTCTTTCATCTGCTTTTTCTTTTTAAGATTCAGTGCTGTACTCCGTTCCTCGTACTTAATCCACAGTTTGAATCAGCCATTCTCATTCCACGTCTGTCTTCGCTGTCTACTTTCAGGAGTATCCAGTGCTGCCTTACCTGATCTTTGTTCTGAAGCAGTTTCTGCTGCAGAGAGATCTAAACGAGGTCTTCACCGGGGGCATCAGCTCTTACAGCCTCATCCTCATGGTCATCAGTTTCCTACAGGTACAGTAACAGCCTCACAGTGGTGGAGCGTGTCCTTTTGTAGCGCTGCTGCTTTTGATATACAGTATGTATGACAGTAGTAGCAGCAGCAGTAACAATATTCATAGTAGAATTTGCTGTTTTCAACAACATTCATAAAGATGTTTAGGCGTGGTGGTGTAGGCTGACATAAATCATAATCTCAGCAATAGCACTTGTCTTGGACACATACTAATCCAGTCTTCCTGCCTTCTCTCCTCAGCTCCATCCTCGTATTGATGCCAGAATCCCCAGTGAGAACTTGGGGGTGCTGCTGATCGAGTTCTTTGAGTTATATGGCCGCCATTTCAACTACTTGAAAACAGGGATTCGCATAAAAAATCGAGGCGCATACATAGCCAAAGAGGAGATAATGAAGTCCATGACAAACGGATACAGGCCATCCATGCTCTGCATAGAGGACCCACTGCTTCCAGGTGTGTTTGACTTGTTTACGCTGAATAAAACATATTCTTTCAACCCAAATAATAGCTGGATCTGTAGACAAATAACCACACTAAAGACTATTTTTCTATTAATTAATGTATCGACTGTTGTACCAATTACTAATTTTTCTCAAAAATATCAAATTGTCTGTTTAATTTAAGTTTATTTTATTTTGAGGTTTTAAGCTTTATGAGTGTATTTAACAACTACAAGGACAAAAAGATATTGAAAAGCTCTGCCTGCTAATGAACAACAACACTTTGAGTTGGTTTGGCATCTTCCAGAAAAGCGTCTTTGTGTTTTCTCTTCAGTTGTTTGTGCAATCCACTACTTCAAAACTCTGCACCTTGCACAGACCACTTTGTTGTTCTGTAATCATCAGAAGTGTTCTCATATTCACCAAGCCTTGGGTCTTTGGGAACTTTTAGACCAAACTCCACTGCAGTCACCACTGCACCCAACCAATGGCCTGCATCATTAGGTAGTGATACTGAGGAAAAACATTTGTTACCATGAACTGAAGCATTTCAGAAAATCATTTTAAAAATATGTCCAACCGTGATGCATTTTTCGCTTTATCATTGATGAAGCTGACTCGTTGAAATTGCCTGTTTTAGGCACACAAAAAAAAAAAGAAAAATGATTCTAATGAAAAGGATTCAGCAAAGTTCAACAACCTCACCTTTCAAAGCAGTTAAAATAGAAATACTGTAACAAATCCATGACTTTTTAAATTGAAATAACAGTTTGAAGAAGCCATGTTCATGAAGTGTTCTCATTTTGGCAGCATCTGGTGGTGATGTCAAGAATGACACGTTGGCAGGCAAATGAAAATGTTTCAACCACATCAGTTTTCGCCTGCACTGATTCATTTTTGTCTCCAAACAAAGCACAGGCAATCAGAATATTTTTAAAGATGCGCGCCCACATAATAAAATGACATATACTGCAGTGATCATAAACTATATGGTTTGATGTTAAATAAGAAGTTGTGGTGAAGCCATGCTCGGCACATTTTGCACACAATAGTAGCAAGTAATATCACAATTGGTGGCAGTTCTACAAAATGTCTAAACTCTCCTTGAATGTCACACATAACTAATTTAGTTTCTTTTTTTCATGTAGGTAATGATGTGGGGAGGGGATCCTACGGTGCCATGCACGTCAAGCAGGTGTTTGACTATGCCTACACTGTCCTGAGTCATGCTGTGTCTCCACTTGCACGGTCATATCCCAACAAAGACTGTGAAAGGTTCGAATCAAGTCCATTGAAAAGCGTTATAGAAACCATGGATACGAGTTTTGCTCCTTCTAAAACGCTTCTCTCTCATCCCTGCAGCACATTGGGGAGGATAATCAGGTTGACCCAGGAAGTGATCGACTACAGGGAATGGATCATTAAGAAGTGGGGGGGCAGGGACTTGGCACGAACGGACAACAGAGGTACAAATCATCAGATTTTAATGTACTGTTGACCTTAATGTCTCAAGATATGCAGAAGATGTATGAGGAGGTTCTTGGTAATTTGAAAAGTAGGAAATGCCTCATGAAAATGAAGTTATCCACTTAGTAAAGTTTGGAGAACAAATGAATTACTGACTTTTTGATGAGTGTAGCTGTCAGTGTCCTTACCATTTATTATTTTTTCTTTAGTGTCGCCTCCCAAGGAGCCAGTGTTGGAGCAGGAGTCCTGTGTGCTGGGGGGTGGCGTTGTGTCAGAAGAACAGCAAAGGGACTCGGTGTCCCCCCATAGTGCAGACTCTCCCATGTCCATCTCCAGCCCTCAGCAGCACTCGTCAGCCTCATCAGTCTCCTCACTGTCTGGATCTGACAACGTAAGAAAACACATACGTAGGAGAAGCAAAAGAGCACTCTGTAAATGAGCAGTTAAAACATTTGTGTCACTGCAGGTTAGCTCACGTTTTTCTTGTAAAGTATCTTTCAGTGGAGGCATCCCAGTAGCCTAATGCTTAACACTTAGAACCAGATGCGCTTTGCGTCCACAGTCACATCCCTTCAGATCAGCTGATTTATCCTTGAAATATTTATTGCTGAGAAGTGGAGCACCCATCAAATAAAACTGCACCACTTGACCTTTGCAATGATGCCAGTTGTTTGTCTGTGTGACTGGGTGAGGAAAATGATTTCTAATTTTCATCAGATTTAATCATAATTACAATCCACATACACCTCTGCACCCATTTCTTTTATTTAAATTCTCCTGAACATATAATTGCATAGATATTAAACACGTATTGGACGATGAGCAGAACTGGAGCTTTGTAATTATGGTAGTTATTAGCATCCTCATATCTTGATTAATGTCAGGGCCTATTTTAACACTTTTTGAATTTGTCAGAAGGCTACGCTCGTGTACAACACATCAAAATAAACAGCAGAGCTTACACTTACCGGTGATACTAGTTGTAACCGTCAGTTTCAAGCTTAACTAGAAGTTGCTGGACATCTTCACCTGCACGAAAAAGCCTGTGTTTGCTACAGCATCCACAATTTAAAGTTGGCAGAAACAGTGAAATGACAGTCTGCTCTGATATTTGATGATCTGATGTATCATTGATTTCGACTGGCCCGATATGCATGTTGTAGTTTTTTTTTGCGTTCTCGTGTGCACAGAAATATTTTTGAAAATATTAGACTTTTTTTTTTTTTTTTTAAATTCTGAGAGGGAAGGTATCTAGCAAGATTTTTTTTTCTGCACCATCTCCTTTAGGACATTCCATGTTTTTTTTTTTTTTTTTAATTCTGAGAGGGAAGGTATCTAGCAAGATTTTTTTTTCTGCACCATCTCCTTTAGGACATTCCATGTTTTTCAAATTTACAAGTCATACATCATCCGAACTACATGGTTGGGATTTTTGTTAATCTTAGTTTCATAATATTACTAGAACATTTTTACTTGATGTAAATGCTAATATGGACAAATATGCAAGTTTTAGCATATTTAGTGATGAGGCAAGGATGTTGGGGGGAAAAATAAAATCCAGCTCATCAGTGACCCTTATAATGAACAAGGTAGGAGCTTAGACGTAAAGAGTTCTGAAGGTTGAGATACTACTTGATGTGCACGGTTTTATTCTCAGCTGTTGGTCCTTTTTTGCATCCCTGAGACCTATTTCACTCTCCCCACATTTCCTATATGTCTGTTACAGACAGTGTGATGGGCAGCTTTTTCCGGTACCAAACACCGGGGACCTCTAAGCATGGAAAATGATTGATTGCAAGTTTAGTTTCCTCTGATTACTGACAGCCGGCATAGTGGAGTTACACCAGTAGCTACATCTTGCTGTGATATGATAGCCTTTTTTGTTCCCTCTAACCTATCTGGTAGAAATCCACCCTGCTGGGGTCTAATTTTATTTGAGTATTTAGATGCTAGCATACAGCAAATACAATCTCCTCCTCTGTGATCTGCCAGGACTCTGATTCAGCGTTGCCGTGCCCCCTCCCTCCGCCAACCCTGCCAGCATACCCGTCCTTTCCGGCTCTCGGCCTAGCTTTACCACCAGGCCTCAACATGGGCACCGGCAAGCCCGGCATGGGAGGACACCATCTGCTCCTGCCTCCAGGTTCACAGGTAGGCACAAAGCAGAGGCTGCAGGCAAGAGGGGTTGCATTTGCTTTAGATCTTGTATGGAAAATTGGAACATTGAAAATGATGCCCTGGTTAACATTTGGATTAACGTTAAGAGAACTATATATGTACAATTAGTAATTCATTGCATTTTTTCTGAATTCCTAATGAAGTGCTGTCTCTTCCATCCCTCAGGCTCGCGTCTCACTGCCCGGTGGTCTAGCAATGCACTCCATACCTGGCAGACAGGTGTGTATAGACACCGGGCTCCCCCCCTTCTTCCACATGCCCCCCCCAGCCCATGCTCATGCCCCTGCCCCCTCCAGCCCCCAGCCTCAGCCCAGCCCCCACTCCAGCCACACACACAAGGTAGGCGCCGGATGCCACAAACACACTCAAATGCACTGTCAAGACAACCTTGTCTCACACATGGGTTTACACTCTTTCCATCTCATATTTTCTGTCTCTCTTCAGATTTCTTCTGTCTTTGTTTGCTGACTCTTTCCTCTCCATTACTCTCTTCAGACTAGTTGTGTAACAGGTTACATAAAAACATCAAATTACCATTTGCAACCCATAAATGCTCAGTAAACAACAACAGCCTCACTGCTGCTCTGAGGCCGGATGTGTCAACATCTGACGTTTACCTTTTATTAGGGGAAATTACTCGGAACAGTCTGCAAAACAGGGACATGATTCAAAGTGGCATCATCCAATTTGGAGTTCTTGCTGCCCGATGGCTTGCTAAGAGTTAAAAGAACAGCATTTATTTTGTTGCTTTCTCAGAGAGTTTAATGAGAAGATTGATACAGCAGCTTGTTGGTTTTGCACAGATTAAACAAACTAGGTACCACCTCTTAACAAGCTTTTTCCACCTTTCTACAGAACAAGCCACCTGTTTCCCTTTTCCAATCTAATTTAATTCTGTTTTAATTATATCGTTTCACAATTCGTCATCTCATAGCACGGTGAAGACCTTACAAATTTTAACAGAGAACCTGACAAAGCCAAAGTTCCCTGTGTATTCCCTTTTAGCAAGCGCTTTGCAATAGTGGAAAAGAACGTTAAAAAAAAACAAACTCCCCTTTAACAGGAAGAACAGAGAAAAAAAAATCTTACACAGTACGGGGCTCAGGGAGAGCAGCCATCTGCCTTGACTGCTTGGGGTGAGCTTTATGCTAAGCTAATTATCTTCTAGCTCTGCCTTCATATCAGGTGTACTAGTGGTCAACGAATATGGTTTTTAAAGCCAATTCCGACATTAATTACTAACAGTCCAAGAGACCAGTAACTGATATTTGGAGAAGATATACATTTGCAGTAAAAATAAAAATCTTGATGTCAAAGTTTACAATAACACAAAACTTAATGGAAATGCCTTTGTTTATTTATGTTTTACATATAGTTAAATAAAAGAGAACTTCATAGCATTTATCTTTTGTAGTTGATAGGGTGTTATTTGCGATATATAACCAGTCGGAGTGTTCTGTTCGTAGGACGTTGTTCGAGACCACAGGCATCTGAATCAGTCTCAAAGTAGAGTATTTTTAAATAACTATCTGAAATCAGATTTTTTATTTTCTATTTTTTTTAAATGACACCAATAAACACTAAAATGTTAAACATCAGTTCCGCTAATGAGCCGTGCTATTGATTGGTCGACCATGAAAGTGGAATCGTCAGCTGTATCTGTTGTTTTTCTTTCTTTCTTTCTTTTTAAAAAAAATCATATTACACACTTATTTTTTCATTGTTTTTTTTTTCAGTCTTGTTTATCGTGCTGGTGTCTCAACACACAACGATTCACAGAGGACTATCATGAGTAACTTTTTTTTCTCTTCTCCCTCCTCAGAATGGAGCCAAGTTCAATGTGAAGGGCTTCCACAACCCGCCGCTGGTCAACAACGCTGTTCTGGCGAACCGCGGACACACGCACGCTCACACGCACACACAATACCACCGCAACACTTGGCGACGCAGGAAGAGGGACAGCCTGCCGGTCAGCCTCAGCAGATAGAAACCACTCCTCGTCCCCTAACTGTTCCTCCTCCTCCTCCTCCTCCTCCTCTCTGGCTGCAAACCCTGGCTCTTCGTTCGTCTTGAAGGAGGATGGACAGGCAAACAGAGAACTAGAGACCAGCAGTTTTCACTCTGGGGCTGCCTCATCACGGAGCAGCCCTCAGCTCTGCATCTTCCTCCTACCTTTCTATCTGTACCTTTCCATTTCTGCATGACTTTTGTTCACAGTTTTTTTTTTTTTTTTCCAGTATTATTTTCCGCTCAGTATTCCTCATCTGTGTTTCAGTTGGGTTACTGTTTTTGTTTTTTGTTGGACTTGGTGGTGATGGCATTGCCAAGTTCACTTGACCTCGTCTTGACCCGTACAGCCAAGCTGCCTGTGGGTCAACATAACTTTTTTTTTTTTTTTTTTTTTTTTACAGTTCATTCACTTAAGAACAAACCGTTTTTCATTTTGTGCAATAATGTTATTTCTCTTTTTGAAACGAAAGTAAAAGCTTATTTAATTTTGTGTGTGTATATGTAAAGGCATTTTATACTGTTATTTTATTTTTGTAGAGTTTTAAATTTTGTTTACGAAACCTTTCCCGCGGCAGCATCTCTGGAGTGTGTATGTGCTCATTGGTGTGTGGTTCTGTGTGTGTGTGTGTGTGTGAGTGTACATTGGAGTGTGTGTCTGTCATCAGGTTGAGATGGACCCCAGTTCAAAGGCCCCCCCTCCTCTTCCTATCTCCCCTTTTAAATGTGGGGTTCTGTTTGATTAAGAGAAGCGATGGCAGGAAGGGATCAGGAGCGCTTGTCTGGTTAGTTCTTCCAGTTTTCTCCTCTTGTCTTGTGAAAGTGGGCGAGGTAAACAATAAATTCCCAGTGGAAGTTTTGTTCCTCAATCCAGTTAGTCGAAGACATGCTGGAGGGAAGTGGAGGGATAAAAATTGCACCCTGGGATATCCTGAGAAATGAGGGGAGAGGATGTACTCCTGGTTTTGACCTGAAAGAGGCAACAGATAGACTCTAGCAGTGCCACCTAGAGATTGTGTGTTTGTGTATATCGCTGAATGTGTGTGTCCCTTACGGGAATGTGTTGTTGCCATATTTTGTCAGTCAGGGGAAGGCTGGCAGTGGCCTGCTACTTCAGTCTTGGCCAGCTTCCACTCTACTGGAGGTCATTTTTAAAAGAAAAGCTTCCAGAGTGTGCAGGACTTTGGCCTGAGTGAGCCTGTTCTGGTCAACATATATGCTCGTGTGTTTCATTTTTGTGCTCGTCTCTTTTTATTACATGTTGTAGGAGTGTTGGGGCCAAGAAGGCGACAGCTTATCTGACTTGAATTGAAAGATCAAGATTAGGGTAAGAGGGCAGAAAGCCACTGATTCCAGGTCAGAAAACTCCTCGTATGCTGACTCTGTGTAGATGAGGGATGTGGTTGTGGAAATCTGATTCCAGGGCTGAGGTCAGCTCTTGCCCGCAGCTGTAAATCAGTGCAGACCGAGATGCTCAGCGATAAGGTTTTCTCCTTTTGTGGTCCTGGACAAAGGAGAAGGAGGGAGGGTTGGGGGGGTCTTCCTGAACTAAGGACCCTAGTGAAAGGGAACTATATTTTGATTCCATTCAGGAATCTTGTGTATATTTGATTGCCAGGTACTTCCGCTAATTGTTTGCAATGCCTTTCTTTGTGTTTACTTGGAGTGTGTGTACAACGTTTTTCGCGAGCACACAGTGTCACACAAACACACACACACACTCACGGACAGGACTGTCGAAGGCTGTGACTCGCCCAGAACACTACACACGCTGGTGTTATTACTATGCAAGTGGATTATTCTAATTATCGTGTCAACTCTTGTATTTTCCGTTTGGGGTTCTTTTCCATTTTAAACACTGCTTGTTGGACCGGAGTAACGTTGCTGACTGTCAGACTCTCAAGCCAACTCATGTGAACTACGACCCCATCCCCACACCCCATTGTATTTGTACGAAGGCCCTGATATGTTTCAAAGTCTAGTTTTCTACATCTATCGGTGAAACGTAAGGAACGGGGGGGTGTTAATGTCAGTGGTTGGGTCTGTGTAGTGTGTGACATAGTGCAACATGTGTGAGAACGTATCGAGACTCATGACTTGCCACCACAGGTTTTTAATCAGACGCCCGAAACAGTCATGATCGAGTGCACCCAGAGAGCGACTTGCACTCTGCAGGTGCACTTCACAGGGGGCAAAAGTGTCCACCAACAATTCTTGACTTTTTACTGAGACTTGTTCAGTACTGTTACTCTAATTGTTTTATTTCTTTTTCTTTAAGCCATGGCAACTCTGATCTGTCAGTCAAAACAGAACGGATTATGAGCAACACCTTCAGCCTAAAAGTTCACATTTTATGATTTGACCCAACAAAAAACAACAAAAAAACACCTCAGACAGAAGTGGAAAGTTTTTCAAAATGTGTGTCCAGCTATAACATCCCTTTCATTCAGTGTTTTCCAAATAATTGTTTTCCATCCATAGGGAGGTGATGAAGTTGGCACATTACACGCTCAGTTACACGCAGGCCTCGTCCAATATCAATTGGATAAACAGGTGGATGTAGTTTGCTACAACCCTGAGAACCTGCTTGTAGAGATCAGAACCAGCATTGATGAGAAAATGAAATTGGCGACGGAATGTTGTTGGCGGGGTTAGAGTTGCCTACATCTTTACAGCAAAGACTGCAATGTGTCGTGCAGTATCCTCGGAAGTCTTTATGGATTAAAATCTCTGTGCATCTCAGCAGTCCTGTGCGGTCAATCCTCCATGTTTGCTTTCCCTCATGACTTTCTGTCACCTGATGAAGATGGAAGCGGCTGACCAAATGTCCCAGTTGCGCTCCGCCACGTTGTCCTAACTTCTTCAGGCGGATTGTTGAATAAGTCAGGAAAAGGAAACAAGGAGAGTGACTCGGACCGCTGAGATTTTTGGTGCACACATTTACGTGTAGATGCAATGTTATAATACCCCCGTTGCAATACAATGAGGGATTTTAAACTGGCGGCTGCTGTTCAGAGACAGACGGCAGCCCTTCAGTGTCCTGGCTGATTCATGTGAGCAGTGGCCCCTCAAAATGGACACCGAGCTACCAGTGGCCAGAGGAAACCACTGCCCAGCTTGTTTTTTTTGTTTTTTTCTTTT